CACTCGTCTCATCTGTCCCCCGGCGCTCCGGGTGGCACTTGCAGCCGTCTCCGACCATCAGCGGACACCCGACCCGGTACCGGCGGAGACGGGGCGCACACCCCCCGCCGCTCCGGGTGGCACTTGCAGCCGTCTCCGACCATCAGCGGACACCCGACTCGGTACCGGCGGAGACGGGCCGCACACCCCCCGGCGCTCCGGGTGGCACTTGCAGCCGTCTCCGACCATCAGCGGACACCCGACCCGGTACCGGCGGAGACGGGCCGCACGTCCCCCGCCGCTCCGGGTGCCACCTCTCAACTGCCCACCACCGTTGCAAGGTCTTGAACAAATCGTTCGCTTTGAACAACAAATTTTTGAAAATGTTTGCTTTTTGCTCCACAATGTCATTTTGCAAAGCGTTACCTCTGATATAAACATTGGGTTTTTTACCCTGATTGAACCCATACAAGTCTGGAATGATGCTTTCCGTTTCGTGCAACATTAAACTTTTGGCCTGATTACAGAGAGGACAGTTCAAGACGTGGCATACTAATCACGCATAACTAATATAGGGAACTCTTTCAGCCTCAAAAGCGGAATATTTATGAGCACCCTCTCTATTTGAGCCTCGGCAGCAGAGAGGGGCTGTCATATCGCCGTCTACTCATCGCACAATCACTGCCACATACTCCAGCATTTCATAAATATTGGAAAAATGCATCGAACAACCTCACGCCACATGCGCTGCCTCCTATCTGTCATACTTGTGGTACGGTAAATCTAGCATCATGGACAGCAACTCACAAACGATACAGCATCCAAACGGTGCAAGCGATCTCAGGAGTAGTCACACCGCGTGCATTGCCCACCTGCTGGTGACGTGTCATGGCGCAGCGACAGCAATTCGGTGGTGATCTCCGACTTGATCGTGCTGAAGTCGGACGGGCTCAGCAGCCCCGGTCGGCGGTGGGGCGGCTGGAGGGGACGCGGACCCACCATCGGACGGGTCGACATGCCGGAAGACGAGCCACCGCCCAGCTCCAGCCCCAAGATAACGTCCCCGCCGAAAACGCCTGGAGCCGGCGCCTCGGCTCCCGGCTCGAAGAAGGCGACGAGGTCGCGCAGCAGGTGATCGAGCGGCACATCAGGCAGCCGCCGCTCCAGGGCGAGCAGCAGGGCGGAGAGCGCAGTGTGGTCCAGCTCTGTCACCGCCGAGGGCAGCCGGCCGGTCCGCCACAGATCCAGCACGTGCTTCAGCAGCGCCGCCGCCGTCACCGGCCGCTGCACGAGGCCCTGCCCGACGCGGGTCAGCAGGAGGTGCACCAGGTCACGAAGCACGAGCTGGCGGCCGCCGCCATGCTCGCCGAGCAGCCGGAGCACAACGCGCACATGTGGTGGCGGCGCGCGCAGCACGCGCAGGATGGAGCGCAGCTCGCGCTCGACTCTGCGCTCCTCGGGCGAGAGCGGTCCGGGTCGCTCCGAAAGCTCGCGCAGCAGCTGGCCAATGGTCGAGGCGTTGAGGCTGGGCTGCGCCACGGGCACGGCCGGCTGCGCGCGCAGCTCGTACAGCTCCGCCATGCTGATCCGATCGAGGAAGCTCTGCACGGTCGGGCTGCCGGAGGACTGCAGCCGAGAGCCGGGCGACATCAGCGACGCCAGCTTGGCGCCTGCAACACCATCGCGAGGTTAGTGCTCCTGGCGGCGCCAGCCGGCGCACAGGGCGCGGCAGGCCGTGTCGCCGGCCAGCTGCCCTACACGGCAGTCCTGTCTACCAGGGGCTTCAGAACCAGAGCCGCCGTTCGGAACTTTTCTTGCACGATGCAGTTGAAACATGATATGGAACCGGAAGGCAAATATTGTTCACCAGAGGATATTTTTGATTTGATGCCTATAGAAGCCGGTGTTTCATCTACAGCAGCTAACCAAAGGACAGCCTTTCACATAAAGTAGAAAGCTCCACGCGCCATGAAAAGGACGTTTGTTCGCCTAAAATGGAAGCAGTATATCCTGAAAATCTTTACATTCTGCGATCACGCCGGTAAGTGAAGAAAACGGACTGTCGCAAAGCAACAAAGGAAGTCTGTTCCCAGCGTGTGCCTTTTATGTGCATGTGTAGCCATCGGGTGAGGAGATCGCAAGGTGACCTCCTGATGAGCATCTCCGCACACGTCAGTCACAACGTGGCAACTCTTCACGGACGCAATCATTGTCCGGACTGTCGTGTCCGTCAGGTGTGTTAGTGTGTACACACTAACACACGCACACTGCCACACACCAGACGGGGACGATAGTCCTATTTCATCCGTGATACTAATGCCTCGTCTCAACCTTTTGGTCAAACTGTGCTGATTCTTCTCAGCCTATATCATCATGCCATGAGCCATACGTTTTGAGCTATGAATTCACATCACGCCGCTAGAGGAAGTGAACTTGGAACATACAGTTATACATCCCTTGAGTAGTTTCAATTACAAATGCCTTAGAAGACTGTGGCATTCCATGACCACAAATGTCCTTAACACAATGGCCGATTGTTGTGGAACAATCAACACACGACATAGTCACACAATGGCAAGTCAGCCCACTACTCCACAGATGGAGTAACAGCAAAGGAGTGAAGGCGGCGGAAGGGGCGAGTCAGAGGCGCTAAAAGCAGCATACGGGGAGGCGTACACGACGCAGGTCATCTGTGGCGACATGGCCTCAGAGCGGGAGGAAATCTGAACCTTTCCTAAAAACAAAACATCCGGACCTAATCAACGTTTCCAAATTACAGCTGGCACCGTTTTCGTCCCTCTCAATCTCAATCGCATGGGATACCCACCGTGACCAGAGCGAGACTGAGCATCACCTAGATAAGTCGCCGGCTGCCCAGAGACGGTCTCTCCTGTCGCCGACGACCGCGAGTCGGCCGGGAGCGCTGCGGCGTGCCACTCACGACAGTCATAGACGGGGCAGCAGGTGAAGAAGGAGTCCATGCGACAGGCCGGGTTGCCGGCCGGGACGGCGCAGCGCTCAGCTCGCTCGGCCGCAGCGCGCACTAGGCTGCCGTGCACGCAGGCGAGCACGCGACGCACGCAACTGCCGCCGCCGCCGTCGCCGCCGAGGTCGGCCTGCTGCATCCAGACATCGCCGTGGGCGCGGCGCTGGCCCGAGGGCTCGAAGCAGCCTGCGGTGGCGGGCGGGGTGAGGGCCGGGCCAGGGCTCGGACGGATGGGCGGGTGACCTGGCCGACGTCAGCAGGCGGGAGCACTGCGCGCCGGGAGGGGCGAAGCGGGTCCTCGCATATGGAGAATGCTGGTGCAGGGAAGAGCAAGGTGGTAGTGGGTCACTGTGGTCTTGCTAACGGACGAAATGGTTTGTTGGTCGGATGAAACGGGTGCAATGGTTGGCACGGATGAGAGCAGGCTTAAGCACGGTATAAGGATATCAACGGTCTGAGTGCAACGGCGTGTGCAAGCCGTGAACACACCGCGGATTCCCACCAGCTTCGCCCGAACAAGGGATTCAAAATATAAAAAACACCGACAATGCCCAGTACCAAAGCGGTCAACTGGAGGATGGAGCAAATGTTCGGACTGTGACCCTCGTCTGGTGTGTATGTAGGCAACACTTCAGCCAGTGAGCGCTCCGGCCGTCGTCAGGTGTGGCGGAGTCCTGGGGAGGACTGGATGGTGCCTGGCCATCTGCCATGTACGCGCCACATCCAGATTTCTCTGCTTGGAATTGCTTATTTTCGAAATAGGGTCTTCTTTATTGCGAGTCCAGTGCTCTATCAACTGAGGTAACCAGGAAGGACAACTGGCATGGCAACGATTGTCTTTTTCGGTCAGATGGTGGAGCACTGCAATCGCAATGGAGAAGACTCTGGTTCCAAGCCCAGAAATTCACAGGTGATAATTCTGGTTGTGACGCATACATGGCTGATGACCCCGTCCTCCCCAGACTGGGCGCAGTCGCGATAAGATTTGCGATTGCGATAATATGTAAGACTGCTCACGATTGCTACAGACTGGATAACCAGTCCTCTCGAACTTCATAACACCTGACGATGCCGAGACTGGCCGGACCGTTGTGTACACACTAATACACCAGACGTGGGTGACATAGGCCCGAGCAGTGACTCCATCCGTGGTACTCATACACCTCGTATCAATCTTTCCGTAAAACCGATCAACTGGCATCTATCCAATCAGTGACACGAATAATACAAAGCACAGGAAGCCGCGCACATGTCTCACAAGCACATAAGAATGGGGCGTTCATGCATATGAACTGATTTTGCACAGGGCGCACGTCACGTGCACGCAAACGCATGCCATGACGAAGAGATTGACTGCGGCTTTGAGGGAGAAACACCACCGTAAACCAGTCGCTAATCCTGGTCGTCCACCCTGGTGCCCTGGCGCCGGGAGCAGAGCAGCCAGCCCGGGCGCCGGACGACCCACCTGGCTCTGAGCGAGCTCCGTCACCGTCATCACAATCCTCGGCGTCTGCCGCGAGAGCGACGCCGATCAGTACCAGCAGCAGCCAGCGGCGGGGGGCCATGGTGGCGCGCGCCTGTCGTCTCAGCGCCCTCTCCCGGCACCCGCGCCATTATAAGCGAGCCGCCACTGACGACTAAGCGTTGCGCGACGCCGCGTAAGCGTCGGGGTCGACACGTTCGGAGCGGGCCGGCCAATAACCGCCGGTCGCCCGCGAGCACGTCCCAACAGCACGGCAGGTCCACGGCGCACGTTTATTGATGACTGGCTGGGCCACGCCGGCACGGCCGAGGCACTGAACCGGCGCGGCGCTCGGTCCGCGCCAGGCCACACGCGGCACGACTCTGCCACCGCCCGCTTCAAGCTGGGGTTACAGCACACGACCGTACTGGGAATATACACTACAGCATCTGATCACACTCGTCTAGAAAACCATGGATGCACTATCTACGACCTACAAGTGGGTTGCCATTGGTATATGGTACGGAATCTTACTGCATCCGTTTGGAAGGCCTCAGACAAAGAAAGTCGATACAGCAACTGGAACTTATGTTTTAATATTTTTCGAAGAGCACACTACTCTGTGGCAGAAGAAAACCTATGAAAATTGTTGCCCAACGAATGGCAACTGACTAAGCGACAAGACCATTCCGAAACAACTAAAACTAAGCCAAGTGCACCCTTGGATAGATGAATGTACATGGCGGCAAAAGTTCCAGGTAAGCAAGCAAAAAGGTGCAAAACCAGATCAGTATACGGAACTATAGAACATCAAAGCCGGTCTCACCCGCAAACTGAGCCGAACGAGGCTCCCGGCCACCTTTCACAGCAACGACAGACATCACGACGGAAACCTGCCCCCCCAGTACCATCGCAGAGCGGGACCCAAGCTATCCGAGCACAGGCTGTTCGGGGGGGGGGGGGGGGGGCCGGCGCGCCAGGCGCCACCCCGGCCCGGACTGCGGCGCCGGGAACGCTCTGCTCTCCAGATCGGCCGACTGCCACCAGAGCGGCCGCCGAAGACATCGCTGGCGGGCCGAGCCCGGCACTATACTATCACCACGCTATGCTTATGCTATCACAATAACGCGGCGCCAAACATCGGCGCATGGGGACAACGGCATCCGAGGCGTCAGCAAGGCGGACGGCACCAACGCCAAATGTATCTGCGAGCGACTAGTTAGAGTATCGCAGATAGAGGCTACGCATTGTCAGCTTACAGTAGCCGATAAAACGGGCCGTGACAAGGCACCAAGCCGCCTTCAGGGCCCGCGCGGAAGACAACTGTCAGCTCACCAACCGCCTCATGACCTTGGGCCCGACGTCAGCCTCCGCACATGTTTCGAGGGAAACCTGTCGGGCGGGGCAAGCCAAGCCCCAAGACCCACTGAACATGGCAAGACCTGACCACAAGGAACGATACGAAAAGACGGCCAGCATCACACCGGCCCGACGTGGCCCCGAGCCGACAGCTTCCCCCCGCGCGTGCGCCACGGCTAACGATGGCACCGGAATGGTATGCCCTGAGCACGCACGCACCGGCCGCGTCCCCGGCTCCTCAGCCGCGGCCCGCCCGCGCCGGGTTTGAGACCGCCGCGTCATGCTGCGCAGGGGCGCGGCCAAGCGCGCGTGCTCGGTCACGGGCCACGGCGGCCGACTCGCAGAATACGGCACGAGTCCGAGCGATCACGAGCCCCCGGGCGTCTTGCGTGAGGCGGCCGCGGAGTCACCAAATCACCTTCGCTGGCGCGGCGGACTTGCCTGCGCTGCGGCTGCTGGCTCCGCAAGAGTTCGCGATGGCCCGCACTAGAACTGTTGCTTGTGAGTCTGGCTCAGCGCGAGGCCAGGTCGGCCGCGCCCCTAACCTCAGCAGCCCGTCACCGTTGGGTCGAGGCCGGACCGCTTGGTGATATTTAGCTTGACCACCTCCTCGGCGCAGGTCGGGTGGATGCCCACCGACTGCCTGAGCGACTCCACAGTCAGGCCGCTCCTGCAGGCGCAGGGGCACGGGTGACGTGACGGATCCGGACAATGCCAGAGAGGCTGTGAGTGTCAGCGTCTGTCGCCGGCACTCACACGACAACTAGCTTGGTACGCGCATTGCTCAAAGCCACTGGAAAGATATGTCAAAATATGACCGTGCACGGATTCTATGTTGGTTGAAACATATTTCAATTTTCTACTTGCGTCGGATGCTTTGCAAGGGTGGTGTTCAGCCCAGAGTACACGCTAGACGGAGCCTTATGACTGCACCTCTGCCACACAAACCAGGAAGTACAGCTCCAGGCCCACAAATAGTTCTGCCGGGCATTCCTGCCAGACGGAATCGCCCATAGATCATTTTCGTGCCGTACAATGGCATAACATCTCCGTTCTGCACCACGCTGACCCTCTCCGTCCCGTCTGTTCAGTCTGTTCCGGCTGTTCAGTCAACGGATGGTCGCTGAATCGCCGTATGTGTGGCTGGCCCAGACATTTCGCCGTGTCTGAGACTAGTCCGGTGCCGTGGTCAGCAAGTCACCCACTATGACGTTGTACGGATGTTAATGTTGTACGGATATTTAACTGTCGTGAGTTATCTCCTGATTCACATAGAATGCAGTGTCCTATATTCGGCTACGTCACCCTACGATACCACAGGTTCAGGACATCTGCTGATCGGGGCGTGCCGCCATGCCCTGGAGGCAATGACGGGTACCCACTCAAAAGATGAATACCTCCGGAAATTTCTTCTTTTTCTGCGGTACACTAACATTTTTTAAAGAACATACATTTTGAAGAACCGCCACTCATGCATTAGACCAAACTGTAAACTGGATGGCATTACCCGGACTGGGAATAATATACTATGGTCCTACTGAAAAGTCTATACACACAAGACTAAATGCGATGACGTCATCCTATATCGTGTAGTCATGGAACATAAAATAGCCATGATCACTTCCAGCTAGCATAACTTGAAAATAAAACCGTGCAACAAACTGTTCACAAAAAGTTGACCTCACGGACTGCGAGCAGTTTTTATACCACGCCTCACTCCCCACGGACAATCCTGTTGCTCATCCACCATGATTCCCTCTCTAGCCGGTGGCAGCACCACATGGCCTTACCTCATGGCCACCGAGAATCCCTGCATGACCTCGCCGGCGTTTGGTCCGATGAAGTGTAGCCCGAGTACCTTCTGGGGCGCTGCGCGCTCGCACACGGCCTTGATATAGCAGGAGGAGCAGTCGCGGTTGGGAACCGCGTATTCCAAAGGTCGGTAGAAGGCGTGGTACACCTGGCGGCGTGGTGCGACCAGCCCTCAGCACTCGCCAGTCAGTGCGCCATGCGTTTCTCTGGTAAGCAGCCCATGTCCATGTGAGCTTCCTATGATGGAGTCCGCAGTACAGGAGAGTCAGAATTGCCGGGAAATCGTGCCGCGTGCGATCGTTACCACCAGAAGCTCATCGGGCACCCCAGCGCAGCTCAGTTGTCCCATCAAGGTACCACCAACACCATCTCACTACAACATTCCGGCGCAGCCGGGTGTGCTCCCTATCCCACACGAGACATCACGCGGCTACCAAACCTAGCTTCCACGCTACCCTCTTAGTCCACAGAATGTGTCTGGCAGTCCCATAATTTCAGGAGAGTAATTTCGCTTACTGAGTTCGCGGAGGGGGGGGGGGGGGGGCGAGCAGTCAAAAATGAAGAAGCGTATCGCGAAAGCAGCTAGCCCACTTTCGACAAGGCATAGCACTAGTCGCGGTGCCCCATGGCCCGGTTACCTCGATCTCGTCCAGCTGGCTACGGGCCTGCTCCTCGCTGAGGCCGACGCAGCTGTACTCGAACGGCGTGAACACGGTGGTCGGCACGCCGCTGTAGTCCATATGGAGCTGCGCGCCGCCGAACAGCCGGCTGGCCAGCAGCCGCCCGGCCTGGATCGCCACCGGCGTCAGCTCGGGGGCGTTCTGGTGGCACGGCAGACGGAGTCGGCTGGGCTCGCTGGCAGCCGGTCAGATGGCCAGGTGACGGTACCCTGACGCCGGTGACGTGGTTGGCTAAGTAAGTCTGAGGCCTGGCTGCGGCGGCCGGTCAGATGGCCAGGTGACGGTACCCTGACGCCGGTGACACGTGGTCCGCTAAGTAAGTCTGAGGCCTGGCTGCGGCGGCCGGTCAGATGGTCAGGTGACGGTACCCTGACGCCGGTGACACGTGGTTGGCTCAGTAAGTCTGAGGCCTGGCTGCGGCGGCCGGTCAGATGGTCAGGTGACGGTACCCTGACGCCGGTGACACGTGGTTGGCTAAGTAAGTCTGAGGCCTTGCTGCGGCAGCCGGTCAGATGGCCAGGTGACGGTACCCTGACGCCGGTGACACGTGGTTGGCTAAGTAAGTCTGAGGCCTGGCTGCGGCAGCCGGTCAAATGGTCAGGTGACGGTACCCTGACGCCGGTGACACGTGGTTGGCTAAGTAAGTCTGAGGCCTGGCTGCGGCGGCCGGTCAGATGGCCAGGTGACGGTACCCTGACGCCGGTGACACGTGGTCCGCTCAGTAAGTCTGGGGCCTAGCTGCGACATTAAATGTTCACAATGGCGGATGAAAAGTGGGAGGTTGGCCTTCGTCAGGACCGGGGAAGGAGGAGGAGACTGAAGCAACACCCTCTATTTCTTTCGAGGGTGATTCCCGAGCCACACAGCGCAGCGAAACGCAAAAGAAACATGCTGGGTGGCTGACTTTGCAAACTTTCGCACCTGGCCCGCAAGCTTTGAGTTTTTACCAAGTCAGACTGCCGACCTATTGCTTTGTTCTAAAAGCTCTGCACGGCGAGAGACATGTCAGCGTTCTGCGACCCTTCTCAACTTGATGCGTACCAGGTCGGGTCGGCTGTTGATTCTGAATGTGTTACACAATGATTATAAACACTGTGTAAAAGTGAGGTATCACCATCAACATATGCTCGCAGATGACATGAAGTTTGTCCTCAAACAAGTCATCTCATGAGACAAGGTGGACGAGACACGTGAATGGTAGTGGAAGAAATAATCTAAGAACGAGGTCACGCCAAGCGACGACCTTCAATATGTTTGGCCATAAATTTCTTACGTGCATGGTCATTCCAGGCCGAGGTGGCGCGGAGCTATGGAATACGCTCAATTTACCCCGCAGTACCCGTTATTTCAAGGAAATGGCAGAGTGCCTCCGGGGGAAAAACGTAGTCTAACCTTGTCTGGACCTGGTAGATCTACAATAACGGATGCTATAAAATGCCTTCTTGAAAATTGCACATCACCGATGAGATGCCTTATTGCTTTTGTGTTTAAATGTTTGCTGCAGTGCACATTTTACAGATCAAACGTGGCGCCGCAAAAGATGGTGATACCGTTATCTTCTCCATACGTCGCAGATGGTGGCGAGACCGGCGCGGTAGATGAGGGTTCAAACTTCAACTGTAATGAATGCTGAATGAAAGTGTAACACAACATCAAATTTGCCTGCTTGATCAGACCAACTTTTCGGAACTGTAGTCTCGCCTAGCTTACCAAGTGACATGGAAAGCTTGCTTCGGCGGACCACATCTAAATACGTAAATACAGTTAAATGAAACAACCATTCGCTTCTTTTTATCAACAATGGTCTCCAAAATATGTCATCGGCACACCACGACACTAGCTGTGTTGACAAAGTCCCATGACCACAGGAGGCCTCCGGACTTGAGACCTGCGACAACCTCTGGTCATTTATACGCAATACAATGGACACCAAACAAACAAACGGTCGTGGCGTATAGCATTAGATCATAAACAAACGATGTACGGATTGGCTGCACCGCACTCGCATCACGACTGACCGCTTGTTTCTACAGTGTCCAAAAGGTGGCTTACAAATGACACAAACTAACCGCGAGGTATGTCTGCTTCACTCCTGACCCGCGTGCGACAAATAGAAGACGATCTTTTTTGAAGCAGTCGATCGACAAAAAAAAACCAGAGGCAAGCTATACCAGTATCGCTGAGCAAACACCATGCGTCACTCAAGGACGTTTCTCCGCAGCAGAGCAAACCTCATAGGCGTTTATAACATCCATTAACTGGTCTTCATTGATATGTAACAAATAAATAAACAGCAATCTGCATCCTACCGACACGTTTCTCGCAAAAGTTATTTCTGGAAATATTTGGGCGTCATAGGGCAGTCTAAACAACTGATCCATCGCTATCAAACATGTGATGCTTGTTCATATGGTCATTGACACAGAACGGGAGTGCCCTCATTAACTGAACACATCGAAGATAAAAACACCCATTTGAGTCACTGATCCTTAGACACAAGAACACGTGCTGTGTCAAAGTTTTCAATGCATGCAGTTTTTTCTACTGCTTGGAAGTTGCTCGGTCCAATTTAAATACGTGCACAGCAGGTGCATACAATATTACGGCGATGCTAGATGAAGCCGATTGTCATTAGTATGGTGTTCGGCCACCAAGGGAGCTCCCATGCCTCAGCTAGCTATCAAATTGTGACATTTAACACGAACAGTTGCATAATTCACCTGCACAGTATCTCCGATGGCGTAGATGTTGTCGACAGAAGTGCGGTCGTCACGCGTGATGATCTTCCCCGTCTTCTGATGAATCTCCACTCCGACCCTGTCCAGGCCCAGGCGCGCCGTGTCCGGGTCCCGACCCACAGCCAGCAGCACTGTGTCGTACACCTCCGGCGGCTGGGGACGGTACACAGCGCCATCAGGGATCAGCTATTACAACCCACGGCCAGCAGCACTGTGTCGTAACCTCTGGCAGCTGGAGACGGTACACAGCGTTATCAGGGATCAGCTATTACGGCCCACGGCCAGCAGCACTGTGCCGTACACCTCCAGCAGCTGGAAACGGTACACAGCGTTATCAGGGATCAGCTATTACGGCCCACGGCCAGCAGCACTGTGCCGTACACCTCCAGCAGCTGGAAACGGTACACAGCGTTATCAGGGATCAGCTATTACGGCCCACGGCCAGCAGCGCTGTGTCGTACACCTCCGGTGGCTGGAAACGGTACACAGCGTTATCAGGGATCAGCTATTACGGCCCACGGCCAGCAGCGCTGTGTCGTACACCTCCGGTGGCTGGAAACGGTACACAGCGTTATCAGGGATCAGCTATTACGGCCCACGGCCAGCAGCGCTGTGTCGTACACCTCCGGTGGCTGGAAACGGTACACAGCGTTATCAGGGATCAGCTATTACGGCTCACGGCCAGCAGCGCTGTGTCGTACACCTCCGGTGGCTGGAAACGGTACACAGCGTTATCAGGGATCAGCTATCACGACCCACGACCAGCAACACTGTGCCGTACACCTCCGGTGGCTGGAAACGGTACACAGCGTTATCAGGGATCAGCCATTACGGCCCACGGCCAGCAGCGCTGTGTCGTACACCTCCGGTGGCTGGAAACGGTACACAGCGTTATCAGGGATCAGCTATTACGGCCCACGGCCAGCAGCGCTGTGTCGTACACCTCCGGTGGCTGGAAACGGTACACAGCGTTATCAGGGATCAGCTATTACGGCCCACGGCCAGCAGCGCTGTGTCGTACACCTCCGGTGGCTGGAAACGGTACACAGCGTTATCAGGGATCAGCTATCACGACCCACGACCAGCAACACTGTGTCACATACGGGCACTCGCTGGAGTTGGCAGTCTCATTCCTTTCATCAGTCCCGCATTTCACGAACAAGGCGGCAGTACCGGACAAATTCCGAACGTCACATGTCGTTTGATGGCCTCGGGAGAGCGGGATATTTTTTTATCATTCTCCATCTGTGAAGGACCGAAATGTGTTGCCATACCACTGCTACATGGCACGGTTCATCTGATTGGCATGGGATATGATAAAATCAAATATGTGGTGTTTTCTCCGTTCTCCGGGCATGAATGACAGTGTTGTCGCAATATGGCACTGTACTAATGCGGCTCGCCGCCAGATGGTACGGTTCACCTGGTGTGTATGGAAACGGGATGTTATATGAAAGGAAGAGGACTGAGAATGGCAAGACTTTCTTCAACTTTGCGATTTACAGAACGCGACAAAAAAAACTATGTCTATCATGTCGCCTGGGTGGAGAGGGTTTGTTGAAATGGTTGCATGCATTTTGCGCCGCAATTTCGACGCCGTTTTCGCGTACCGCTGCCGACCTCCAGCATGCCACACGCTTACATCAAAACTGATGAAGTGGCTCGCAAAAATAATAATATGCAGTTGCTCGACATAAAAAGAGAATGAGGCGTGCACTTTTCATGGATGTCACATAGTCTTGGTCACCCAGGTCTTGATGAAATTCATCGTCATAGTCCACGATCGTACTACACATCCATCAGAGAATGGAAGATACCAGTCAGAACAAAATAAGCATTAAGGGCATGACACAACTAATCAGACAATGGCCCCTTCGAAAGGGATGACACTCGGTGTCTGAATCCGCCGTGACGGCCCGGGTGCCATTCGTTCCGCAGTGCCACCCAGTGTCGATCACCAATAGTCACCCACCGTCTGGTGCCCGCCGCCGGGCGTCAGCACGACCCGGACGCCGCCGCCGTCGGCTCGCTCCAGGCGCAGAGGCTCCGAGCCGCGCAGCACGCGCGTGCCCAGCTTCTCCATACCGGACACCACCAGACCTGACGGCGGGCACGGCTCGTGGGCGCCGGACGGGACAGAAGTATACCAGACACCACCAGACGTGACGGCGGGCACGGCTCGTGGGCGCCGGACGGGACAGAAGTATACCAGACACCACCAGACCTGACGGCGGGCACGGCTCGTGGGCGCCGGACGGGACAGAAGTATACCAGACACAAACAGACGTGACGGCGGGCACGGCTCGTGGACGCCGGACGGGACAGAAGTGTACCAGACACCACCAGACCTGACGGCGGGCACGGCTCGTGGGCGCCGGACGGGACAGAAGTATACCAGACACCACCAGACCTGACGGCGGGCACGGCTCGTGGGCGCCGGACGGAACAGAAGTATAGCAGACACCACCAGACCTGACGGCGGGCACGGCTCGTGGGCGCCGGACGGGACAGAAGTATACCAGACACAAACAGACGTGACGGCGGGCACGGCTCGTGGGCGCCGGACGGGACAGAAGTATACCAGACACAAACAGACGTGACGGCGGGCACGGCTCGTGGGCGCCGGACGGGACAGAAGTGTACCAGACACCATCAGACCTGACGGCGGGCACGGCTCGTGGGCGCCGGACGGGACAGAAGTATACTAGACACCACCAGACCTGACGGCGGGCACGGCTCGTGGGCGCCGGACGGGACAGAAGTATACCAGACACAAACAAACGTGACGGCGGGCACGGCTCGTGGGCGCCGGACGGGACAGAAGTATACCAGACACCACCAGACCTGACGGCGGGCACGGCTCGTGGGCGCCGGACGGGACAGAAGTACACCAGACACAAACAGACGTGACGGCGGGCACGGCTCGTGGGCGCCGGACGGGACAGAAGTGTACCAGACACCACCAGACCTGACGGCGGGCACGGCTCGTGGGCGCCAGACGGGACAGAAGTATACCAGACACAAACAGACGTGATGGCGGGCACGGCTCGTGGGCGCCGGGCAAGACAGAATTGCAGAAGACGGCTTTCAGCTGATGCATTGACGACCAGCACAGTGGTCACCATTGGCTGGGGTTTGGTTGTTTTCTTTTACGCGTGCGCACTGCAAGGTCAGGCTGTTGTCAATCTGTTCACTGCACACCAGGGTCAGACGGCAGCAGGATTCCAGGGTTCTTTGTGGCAGTTTTCGTCCGTTATCACCGCATCACTTCCAGGGCGGCTCACTCTCCGCAACACTGCCGCCACGCGGATCATCAATCCCCACCGGAGACCAAAGCCGGGAATCATCGCCACTGTGAAGACCGGCGTCCTCGGCAACCTTCGAGAAGGCACGTGCTCACACACCTGCCATCTGCTGGTCAAAGCCCACACACCTGCTATCTGCTGGTCAAAGCTCACACACCTGCCATCTGCTGGTCGAAGCCGCGCAGCGGGATGGAGCGCAGCAGTACGGTCGTGTCGAAGCCGAGGCCGGTGAGGAAGCCGGCGCATTCGAGGCTCACATAGCTGCCGCCCACACAGAGCGTGCGCCCGGGCGGCCGGCGCAGACGGAACAGGTCGTCGCTGGTGATGGCCAGCTCGGCCCCGGGCACACTCGGGTACCTGGGCCAAGGGCTAGCTCGTGACTGGGCGTTACACTGGCCGGGAGGAGGCACACGGCTGACAAGGAGAATGATCACGAGATCACAGGTGTGGCCAAATGTCACTGGAACGTGCACGTTTACAGGGCCGGACACAGTCAAACGCGGTCGGGCCATTAGCAGGGAAAGGACGGTAATAATGCGGAGACAGTTCAGCGCTGTGGAGCAAACAACAGCGAGCCACATGATGGTCGGTGGTGTGAGAAATACGTCATGGCAGACATCAGAACAAGAATCAAGAATCGAACAGCTTTCAGCTCGCAAAATACGCAAACTCTCGTCACCTTTACAAGCCCACTGATGCGGTGACCCCGAACTCAAGCTGCTCTAATTCCCACCACTCGTTCACAGGCCTTCGATGCGTACTAGGACGCCGCGCCAGCCTGGCGGCCGCGGGGCGGCGCCACCTGTCGCCGTACCTGGGCCGGCCGCCGGTGGCCAACACCACGGTCTGGGCGCGCACCACCGTCTCAGTGTCCTTCTTATCCCGCGCCAGGATCGTGTGACGATCCAGCAGCGTGCCAGAGGCATTCAGGTATGTCACCTGCCTGGGGCACAGACAGAAATGATCACATGGGGCAGCCCTGGTAAACCTCTGGAAGCGTGCTGTTACACTTAGAGGGCCATTCGAGATGTGTATGCACTGTTACAAACATCATCAAAAGCTGTTAAACGACTGACATTTTGGGCTGTGGACATGAAAAGAACACAGCATGGACAAATGATTTGGAAAACAAAGAGCCATGAAACAAAATACTTGATGGATGGGAAAATAGTCCAGCCCTTACTTATGCCCTTATGGACAGCACTCACTTACACACATACAATACTTACTTGTCCCTGAGAGTGATACGGTGTCCCCAGTTGAGGGAGCCCACATGATTTGTTACAGCCATTACCAGCTGGTCCCAGTTCAGCTGTACCTCCTTTGCCTTCACATTCCAACCGAAGGCACTGGCATCCTGTGACAGATGCCAGATGCAGTAAAGTCACAATCATTTTGAGCTTTCAGTGAACAGAGCATACTGGAACTGTCACTAAGACATTCCACATGTACCACAGTAATGTCACAAGCAAAAGACATTGCCTGCTACAAAACTTTGTCACAAAGGGGAAATGATAAGTGTTCTTCCACAGAACACGCATCCATATAGCACATATCATATCATACAACACACCTTCAGATCCTTGCCAAGTAGAGCAGCTTGATGCATAAGTTTCTTGGGAATGCACCCCACATTGACACATGTGCCACCAAGACCCCACACAGTGCCATGGGGTGATGGTGTCACAAAGTCCAGCACAGCCACCTGCCAGTGAAACAGTGCACATAAGCAGCAGCACATGAAGTCCAAAACACCATCCACTGCATTCCAATAACTTCCAGTAAGATTTACTTCCATGATGAATGCTAGATTTCCAGCCTTCACTCTGATGATATCACCTAAGAATTTGATTACCAGCACATGAACTTGAAAGCATTATTTGAATTTGGAAGATGTTCATGGCCACAGCTAATTCAAAAGAACAGTGCTAGCAGTATGACATACATACCTTCACGTTATCTGCACATCTATAGGAAATACTTGTTATAACATGACAGGATGTTTTAGGTGTTCCACTCAGAATCCACATGGAAGTCCAGAGTATAAATACTTCTTAAACATATTATTCTATTTATGCAGTTCTCTAATAATCTAAACCTAACAATCTGAATCTGACCCACTTACAGCAAAAAAGAATCTGATATTATGACTCAATTCAAGTCTAAGCAGCCTCTTTGACCAATTGTGACTAAAACTGGTGAGCAAACATAATGCTGCATGTTTCTCACAAGATAATAAACTGTCACACCAAAGAACAATGGCCATACAGTGCAGGTCTGACACAACCCACCTTAGCACCATAACCTGCAGCCTCCTTGGCACAGGCCAGGCCACCAGAGCCTCCTCCAATCACAACAAGATCATAATCTTGAGGTACAGCTGCAAGTTAGCAGAAACTAGTTCAGTATTGCATCAGCTGCTGAATTCTGACACATAAATATGCCAAATTCTGCTACATAAAATGCAAAGAACAATATACAGAAAAGTTTTCACAGGTTTTCACAACAGAAGTACTTCCACAAAAAATACAATTGGCACAATTGCATTTTAACATCACATACTACTTATGTGCATTAAAAACTATCATTCACTTGTTCTTTTAGCTATGATGCATGTGCAGTCATTATGGAATTACATCAGATCACTCCCTGTGAGCAATATTCACTATCACGTGGTGGTGAATAGCAATACACCTCAACATGTATGAGCCACATCACCTAAAAATTATCATAAAATACACATGTATGGTTATCAAATACTCCAAAATTCTAAAACTGCAGACAAAAAAACTGAGTGCTTCAAACCAAAGGGTTTCAACAAAGGGACCAAAGGGACAATTGGCACACCATGCTTGTTGTTTACTCTAAATGGAAAATTGCAATGTGTTAAACAAATTTCACTGTTTGATGGTACTATTACAAACAGCTAAGCAAGTAAAAAAGTGTCAAATACACACTTGTGGTCGTCAGATATCGAAACAGCTTCACACCAGAGCCAAAAAGCTGAGAATGCTTCAACCCAAAGGGCTTGAAGATTATTGGTGCCCTCATACTTCACAGACTACTTTACATGAAATGTCAATATATGTAAAAACACCCAGATGCCTGTTCTTTTAGATTAGCGTTCAGAACACCGACGTGCTCCATACGACACTCTTTAACATCTGCGGGGACGGCATCCGAACAGGCCAACCAAAAGTATGGCACAGAGAGCGCGAGGTCCGAGAATGGTCAAAATGGCAGAGCAGTATTTTGTATTTCGTACGTCATTACTGTCGATACAAGAAAAAAACTGAATGGTAAATTTCAGTGAATACCAAAAGAAGTTTTCAATATTCGCTTATATCAGTTTATTGACAATTAAATATGCTAAATAGTTAATGAGGTAATCAAAATATCAATGCAAGCCCTTGAATTCTCTAAAAACAGGAAGCAACTCGTAAAATATAATCGAAACTCGGAAGACTTTCCTTCAAGAGACGGCTAGTACTTGAACCCTTCCTCATAGGTGAGCTGCCATATCACGGCAATGAGAAAACGCGCGGGAGGAGAATTTTGGCGGCTACGTGATTTGTCTGTTGTATTGAGCTTGGGCTTGTGTATGGGCTTCCTGTCTGGCCATCTTAGAGGTGGGTTGCGTTAATATTGTCGCCTTCGCTTACCTGTATTTAGTAAACATGCCCTGTAGCTGGTGAAATGGCTGGCATTTGACAAACTGCACCCAAAGCACGGTGTAGGTGTACTTTGCTACCTACCGCTGGAAAAAATCATTGTACACCATTTGTCGTTTAAGGCAGAACATATCGTAAATAATCTAAAACCAGGTAGAATCATGCTCCTACCTTCGAATTTTACTCAATACGATGGCGAGCTCCAGAGCGCCGCACGCACAGCACCGCGCGGCCTCGACTCCCCAGCACCGCTTCTGCGTTGTTGCGTTGTTACAATATTTCTGGTTATCAAGAATCATAAAACATGTACGGAACCAAGGTAACAATAATGATGCAATGAAAATAGTTTCTTATCGTGTTTAGGTATGTTTATGAAGCACACAGGCCAGAATAGTCCAGAACATACCCTAAACTAGCCTAACCTAACTTAACCTAACCTAACCTAACCTAGCCTAACCTAACCTAACCTAACCTAACCTAACCTAACCCAACCCACCAAACTGAACTGAACCCAGCCCAACCCAATCCAACCCAACCCAACCCAACCCAACCCAACCCAACCCAACCCAACCCAACCCAACCCAACCCAACCCAACCCAACCCAACCCAACCCAACCCAACCTAACCTAACCTAACCTAACCTAACCTCCCACCCTATATCCCCTTCAACCCAGCATCCCATTGGCATCCATGTTCCATGCCATATATAGGTACCATATAGTGAACTTTTATTTAGCCGCCATGTTCTCATTTTGCTTTACATTCCCCACCCAATCCCCCTGGGCTGCTGTGTGTGCGGCGCTCGGGAGCTCGCCATCGTAATCATAAAAAATTTGAAGGTAAGAGCATGAATCTACCTGTTTTGTGATTATTTGTGAAATGTCTTGCCTTAAACATGACAAATGGTGTATAAGGATTTTTTCTAACGTTAGGTAGGAAAGTACACCCTGACCCAAAGCATAGTTGTGGGGTGCTCCCAACCTATTATCTATTACTGTTCGACATGCTCTTGCGACGGAACATGGCGCTCGTTCAACGAACGGGATTCTTCAAGTACTTCACCTTTTTTAGAAGAAGAAAAATCTCCACCGCGAGTGTTTAATGCGCAGTGTGAAACGGGCACAACCAGGTCGCGTTAGCAGAATTGCCCAACTTGGGGATCATACAACCCAAACAACATCTTAAGCATCAAAAATAATGAGCAGGCAGTTAGCATTATTTATTTCGTCGTTTCAACTATTGCTACTCACAATGCTCGCATGAGCGCCTATCATCTTCGAGAAATAACCATCTGACAATTGTAATTTCGGCAACAAACCAGTAATGTGATTTTTAACACGCAGGCAGCAGACCATTTATAGCATGTACTAAAGGGCAACGTAAGCGCCAAATCATGGACATACGAGAAACCAAGAATAGCATCCCAGCTCTGCACATTCGTGTCTCGAATTATCTGTTGGTGCGCTAAGCCTTCGCACATAACATAAGTTTGATCATTTTTATCGAATATTTGACAACTTACGGCCCATCGCGCGCAGACCAGAAAGGCGCCTACACTTACCTTAGCATTGCACTTCTTTCTACTTCTGGCCTTGTTATTGCACTCCTAATTTATTTCCAGTTCTGAAGCTTTAATTGATATTTCCAAACAGACAACATAGAGAAAGAGCCAACAATGTCGGTTGAACTGGAGCATTTCCGGCAATCTTAAAAAAACCGACCAAGCCACGGGAACCCAACACCGAAGCCAAGCCAGCGTTTTCGGTACGGTACATAAACGTCTATTAGCGCAGTGCATCTCATACACGAGTCCGGATAATGCGACTCGTACTTATTACAACCAAACACATCGTGACGACAATGTCGCTTAAGCTAAAACACTTGGGTTCAATTAATATGACTACTCCGTTGCCGTGAGATGCTGCCATTATGTCGTGTGGAGGGACTGTCGTAGCACCCTCTTAAAGTAGTGCACCTCTTGTACAATTCCAACGAGCGAGGCCTGAAATCGCTCTGACATTCAGAGAACATGAAATCGCTCTGACTCTGCCGAGACAATATGCCAACAGCAATCCTAAGGAAACGGACCAAGCCCCGGGAAACTAAGGTTGAAGCAAGGCCAGCGTTTTCGGTACGGTACATATACGTCCATTAGCGTAGTGCACCTCACACGCGGATCCGGATAATGCGATTCACACGTATTGGAACTAAACACATCGTGCTGACAATGTCGGTGGAACTGCAAGACTTCGGTGCAATGAATAAGACCCATGCATTGTCGTGACATGTTGGCATCATGTGCGGACGGACTGCAGTAGCACCCTCTTAAAGTAGTGCACCTCTTGTATAATTCGAAGTGACGAGACCTAAAAACCGCTCTGACATCAAAATACATGCTCTGCCGAGATAATATGCCGACAGCAACCCCAAGGAAATAGGCCGAGCCCCGCAAACCGAAGACCGAAGCAAAGCCAACGTTTTCTGTGCGGCACATATACGTTTATTGGCGCGGGGCACTTGAAACACCAGTCCTTATAGTTCGATTCACACTTACTAGAAGTAAACACGTCGTGGCGACAATGTCGTACTTCGGTTCAATGAACAAGACTCATGCATTGCCGTGAGATATCACCATCATGTTGCGCGGTCTGACCGTAGAAGCAGCCCCTTAAAGTAGTGTACGTCTTGCATTATTCCAGCTGGCGAGACCTGAAAACGCCTCTGGCATCCAAGAACATTCTCTACCCAGATAGTACTCTCGTGTATAAGGTGCACTGCGCTTTAAACATGTATGTACCGTACTGAAAACATTGGCCTCTCTTCGGTCTTCGGTTTCCGGGGCTTGGTCCGCCCCCTTAGAATTGCTGTTGGCACATCATCTCGGTAGAGTATGTTTTTAGATGTCAAAGCGGTTTTTAGGTGTCGCCAATTGGAATTATGCAAGAGGTGCACTGCTTTAAGAAGGTGCTACTACAGTCCGTCCGCACATGATGGTGACATCTTACGACAGTGCATAAGTCTTATTCATTGAACAAAAGTATTGCAGCTCAACCGACATTGTCGGCACAATGTGTTTATTTCTACTTAGTGTGAATCGCATTATAAGGACTCTTGTTTCAGGTGCCCTGTACGAATAAACGTATATGTACCGTACCGAAAGCGTTGCCTTTGCTTCGGGTTCATGTCGGCATATTATCTCGGCAGGGTATGTCTTTGCACATCAGAGTGTTTTTAGGTCTCGCCAATCGGAATTATACAAGAGGTGCACTACTTTAAGAGGGTGCTACTGCAGACTGTCCGCACATGATGCCAACATCTCACGACAATGCATGGGTCTTATTCATTGAGCCGAAGTGTTGTAACTGAACTGACATTGTCGGCACGACGTATTTATTTCTAGCAAGTGTGAATTGCATTATCCGGACCCGTGAATGAGGTGCACTGCGCCAATTAAAGCGTTTGTACCGTACTGAAAACGTGAGATTTACTTCGGTCTTCGGTTTCCGGGGCTTGGCTTACTACTTTGGCATTGTTGTTAGCATATTCCCTCGGTAGAGCATGTCTTTGGATGTGAGTTTGGTACGGTTTGGATGTTTCGGTACGGTACATATACGCTTATAGACGTATATGTGCCGTGCCGAAAACGCTGGCTTTGCTCCAGTCTTCAATTTCCGGGACTTGGTTCGTTTCCTTAGGATTGCTATTGGCGTATTATCTCGGTAGAGCATGTCTTTGGATGTCAGAGCGGTTTTTAGGTCTCGCCAATTGGAATTATACAAGAGGTGTACTACTTGAAGGGGGCGCTACTGCAGTCCGTCCGCACATGATGGCAACATCTCACGGCAATGCACGAATCTTATTCATCGGACCGAATTCTTGCAGTTCCACCGACATTGTCAGCACGATTTGTTTAGTTCCAAAAAGTGTGAATCGCATTATCTGGACTCGTGTGTGAGGTGCACTACTTTAGGAGGGTGCTGCGACAGTCCCTCCGCACGACATGATGGCAGCACCTCACGGCAACGGAGTAGTCGTATTAATTGAACCCAAGTGTTGTAGGTTAAGCGACACTGTCGTCACGATGTGTTTGGTTCTAGTAAGTGCGAGTCACATTATCCGGACTCGTGTATGAGGTGCACTGCGCTAATAGACGTTTATGTACCGTACCGAAAACGTTGGCTCGGGTTCGGTGTTGGGTTCCCGTGGCTTGGTCCGTTTTTTAAGACTTCTGGAAATGCTCCAGTTCAACCGACATTGTTGGCTCTTTTGTCTGTGTTGTCTGTTTGGAAATATCAATTAAAGCTTCAGAACTAGAAATAAATTAGGAGTGCAATAATAAGGTAAGAAGTAGAAAGAAGTGCAATGATAAGGTAAGAATGTAGGCGCCTTTCTGATCTGCGCGCGATGGGCCGTAAGCTATCAAATATTTGATAAAAATGATCAAAATCATGCTATGTTTGAAGGCTCAGCGCACCAACAGACTATTCGAGACACGAATGTGCAGAACTGGGATACTTCTCTTGGTTTCTCGTACGTCCGTGATTTGGTGCTTATATTGCCCTTTTCGTACGTGTTATAAATGGTCTGGTGCCTGCTTGTTAAAAATCACAACTGGTTTCGTGCTGAAATTATAAGACTGTGAGATGGCAATTTCTCAAAGATGATAGACAATCATGCGAGCACTGTCAGTAGCAATGGTCGAAACGACAAAATGAATAATGCTAACTGCCTGCTCATTATTTATGGTGCCAAAGATGTTGTTTGCGTTGTAAAATTTCAAAGTTGGGCAATTCTGCTAACGCGAGCTGGTTGTGCCCGTTTCGTACTGCGCATAAAACGCTCGCGGTGGATATTTTTATTCTTCTAAAAAAGGTGAAGTACTTGAAGAATCCCGACAATGGACTACGTCATATGATGTTGTCATATAGTTAACTGATTGCTATCCATCTCTCGATGATTCCAGCCCCGACAGGCGTAACGGTCTGCGTGATCACGGCCAGTCTGAAGGCTGTCAGTTCACTGCGCCGAACGGTTACGCAACATCAGCGCGTTGAACTGTGCATTCGCGTGCACCGGACGCGGGTCTGACCAAATATCCCTGAATTCTCAAGTTGTTTTTGCGAGAAAAGCTCACGCAGATTTTTCCCGAGATTGCCTTTGCACCATTGGAATTCGTGTAAACATTGGCTGCCCATGAGCTGAAATTGGCGGCGACCGATTGACCTCGCACAGGCGTAAACTGCAGCCATTGAACTGCTTCCGGTGCACGATCAGCACCGGCAGTGCGGTGTACACCAGCAGCTTCTTCCCGGCGCTGCGATGGATGGTGAACAAGCTTTAATTTGTTGTGAACTGTTCCCACAACTTACTTTTCACGAAAGAGCGAAACTATTTGAAAAGTTTGGTAACAGTTGAGTGCTACCTTGCTGGTGAACTTCATCCCTGTTTTGTAGCTTTATTCCTATATACCATCCGAACCGCCGACCGAAAGGTGCAGATCGTTCGCCGCTGGTAAGAGGCTGACTCAGCTCGCCATCGCCGTGGACCTTTGTTCGCACTCGCAAACAGTACCCGACTAAGTCGCAGTGTCGCCGGGAGCAGCGCGTCGCAAACGCCGAGCTGCGCGAGGCCGACACCCAGCGGCTGCGAGAGAGGCGGCAGAATGGGGCTTACCGGCAGCCGACGACGGCTGAGACAGTGGATGTCACTGCCGGCAGACGAGGGCTGTCGCGAGAGTGAGGAAGCGAGGCTGTGACAGAGTTGGCGAGACTACGGCTGTGAGAGGGAGCGGGAGCATCACTGTGGCACCGATCGCGCCCGGCCGGCATCGCCTAGCATCCGCGCTCTCAGGTGAGCGGTGCATGACATCGGTCCCGAATACCGTCCCGTTGCGTCGCACGGTGCACTTCTGTGGCGAGGAGAGCGCTCCACTCTGTGCCGTAGTGGAGGGAAGGTTCTGCGACATTGGCTGCCACCGCCGCTACACGTGGCCTCTGGGCGGCGGACAAAGTCGAGGGCGGAGCCTTTCAGCAATACTCCTGCCACTCAAACTTGGTGATGATGGTGGCCTTGATGACTGTATGCGAGGAACGACCTACGGGCGGTGGGCACACGCCGTGTGCAACTCTCCGGGGTCGTCCGCCTGGGGTGTCCACAACCGGAGGCTGGGTAAATCCTGAGCGAAGAGCGACCCCTGGGTGGTGGGCACGCCCCGTGTGCGAGTCTCCAGGGTCGGCTGCACCTTCGCCTGGGGTCCTTGCAGCCGGCGGCTTGGCGAATCCGAAGCGGGGAGCGACCTCCGGGAGGTCGGCACGCCCCGTGTCGGCTGTACCTCCGCCTGGGGTCCGTATAGCCAGAGGCTGGGCAAATCCCTAGCTTTGCACCGCTATAAGTGCACGACCCGACGCGCCGGCACCTGGACGAGGAGGCCTGTGCTCAGGCTCGGAGAAATGCAGCTGCTGGCATCGGCGTTCGTTGCCGTCCAGCGCCGACTGCTGGAGCTACTGGTCCGCCTCCAGCTCCTGCCGCACCAGGTGAACCCGTCGTTCCATGATTTCATCATGGGCTGCGAGATGCTGGAAAGCCACATTGACAGCGTGGCGCTGGTCATCCGCGTGGGTGCTCGACCCACAGACAAGCACCGGCACAGGTATAACCTGCTTGGGAGATTTCGCGAAGTGTCTGTGCTCAGGGTGAGCAGCCTGCCGTTAGGATATCGTCTCGCAACAGGAAGGCGACGATTGCCAGTTGACCCTGGTCGCCATCAACAGTTCGCAGCGGCTGCAGTGGCTCTGACAGTGACTGTGGCAGTGGCTCTGACAGTGACTGTGGCAGTGGCTGTTCTCGTCGTGACGCGTCGCGTGTGGCACGTCGCGTCGCGTGTGGCACGTGTACCCCATTGGTGGAACATGGCGAAACGAGAAATTCGCAAATTTCCAAAATCACCGAGTGGCGGACGAAAACCTGGTCCCTGTCGTGGCAATGGTGGGCCACATCGAGACGAAATCAGCACATTCAGACTCGGCAAGGAACGGGCAATGGAACCGGTAAAGGGACGGATTAATGTGTGCGAAGGCAAACGTGCGATATGCAAAAATCCTTGATCCGTCGGTTTGCGGGAACTTTCACGATTTATGTCAAATCTCGGCGCTCCGGGCAGACGATGCCATGAAGCCAGCCGCGCGGAGTACGCGCATGTCCCGCTTACAAATCACCCGCGCGGCCCAGCGCTGACCGACCCATTACGACGCCCTGAAGCCAGCCGCGCGGGGTACGCCTATGTCCCGCCTACAAATCACGCGCGCGGCCCAGCGCTGGCCGACCCGTTACGACGCCATGAAGCCAGCCGCGTGAGGCACGCGCATGTTCCGCCTACAAATCACCCGCGCGGCCCAGCGCTGACCGACCCATTACGACGCCCTGAAGCCAGCCGCGCGGGGTACGCGCATGTTCCGCCTACAAATCACGCGCGAGGCCCGGCGCTGGCCGACCCGTTACGATGGGTCGGCCAGCGCTGACCCAGCCGGCAATCGCCTGGGCGACCCAGCCGCTCAAGCAACGATCAATGTCGCGTTTTATTTAGAAATATATATATATATATATATATATATATATATATATATATATAATATGGCGCGCTGGCGCCTAGACGGAGCAACCTGGAGGCGTAAAAATGGCACAGGCATAAAGGCAAGCTTTTGCAGTTACTGGCGGCTTGGCGATTGTTACCAAAATATTGTGAAATTCGCACATATCTTGAGTGGATGTTGATCGCCGTGAACCTAGCTTTGCTAATGCGCCACTTTCACGATCCCCACTTTGCTCTGTTAGTGGCGTCGGTACGTGTCTGGTGAAAGTATTTGACTGTGTCGATCCCGTTTCGCTGGGACACTCCGTTGCTGAACTACGATCCGAGTTTCGCCTCTCGTCTTGGCGATTTTGTTAAGTTGCTCGTGATGCGTTTCCCGTGCTAAAGCAATGCGGCACGTGTGCGCGTGCTGGCAGCGATCCGCCGGTCCGACCCGATTTCAAATTGATTGTATTAATCCCCCCCCCCTGTTGGCCTAACCGCACGCCAAATTTGGCCTAGCTGGCTGACACCGGCGCCGAGCGCGAATACATTTGTGGATGACAAACGGACGGACGGACGGACCCCCTGAGAACTGTTAGAGTGATGTGCCGATGCTACCCGCCGAGAGGTAGAACTAACAAGCTTAACGTGCAGGGATAGCACGGCAGAACCGCTTTCATTATCCGTTCCTGTGAATCTTGACTACCGTTCAGTGATATGATGAAAGATAACAGTAGTGATTGAGGACCTGAAAATATTCTTCGCAATGTGCCAACTGGAAACGTTAAAAACAACGAGTGTGTCCTTAAAAGGTGTTATGATTTCATTTTTTAATATTGGAACGCTGATTCCGATATTCTACTTTTTGACGAATCCAAATATTCCGTTGAACAACCGAATGCGCCGCATCCGGATGCTTGGCTCTAATGGGCACTACTCGTATTTAGTAATTCAGCCAACAAGCAAGCAAGCATTTTGTCATGTCACCGTTTTTCAGTATCGACGTTTTGGCACGTCGCGATTTCCAGTTCGCCGTTTAACCTACCGCGAATATGGCAGGTCGATTTTTGAAAAGATTTTATCCTTTGTGGGTCGCTATTAGGCCCATCGCCATTTTGGAATGTCCGCTTTCTACATTTCGTGTCTTTGCGGTTCGCCGTTTAGTCAATCCGACTTTTTGCTCCGTCGACTGTTTTACGTGTCGCCATTTCTGCACTCATCATTTCGTGGTCGAAACAAGGTATTTTCCAAAAGGACTTTTCTACTTTTTGTCCCTGCACCGAGCATAAGACTTCCAAAAGTTTGCCTGAACGCGTTTGCGTGCTTCCATCGTGGTCGCAAAATGGATGTGTTCACGCATACTCCGTACTGCAAATACGATGTGCAATAAGATTGTCCCTGTGATATACTTCTGGCGCAGGCTGCCAACGGTGGTCCTGTTTGCAGCGCCGGCTGACCACGATTTCCACGCGTGTGAAGCTCAGCACTGTCAAACGTCTCAGTGCCTCAGACGTCCTGCCTCAGTGAGCGTCAGGCCCGCCCAGGAACGGCGTTACGGGTTCGCGGAAACGAAGGGTTGGAGACTCACAGTCAGGGCTCATGTTGCACTGCCTTTGCTTAGGTCGCCCGCTCCCGCTCGTCGCACTGGTGGTCTGGGTGCTTATATAAGCATGTTAAGCATGACAGTGCTGTTTTCGCATCTCAGTCACGCTTTCTTGCAGCAATTATCAGATTTATGTAGGTTAACGGAACGTGCGCTCTCGGAAGATCACTATCGATTAGTAAAAAGAGATGCCGACTGTCCACACATCCTTTTCGTGGGATTTACACTGGTTGAAGATTTGCCTCCAGCCTTTTGTCGCTCTGTTGGGATGGACAAACTTAACGTTTCTTTGAAAAAGCCCGCCAAATGCGTGTGCACTGAAGCATTGAGAGACTGGTCTTAAAATGCATTTCACTCATCACCCCCCAACACACACACACACACACACACACACACACACACACACGCACACACGCACGCACGCACGCACGCACACACACACACACACACACACACACACACACACACACACACACACACACACACACGCACGCACGCACGCACGCACGCACGCACGCACGCACGCACGCACGCACGCACGCACGCACGCACGCACGCACGCACGCACGCACCACGCACGCACCACACACCACACACACACACACACACACACACACACACACACACACACACACCTGTGCCGTGCTTTACGGGACACCTGACTCAGCCGTCACTAGCGAGAACCACCCGAACGAATGGCGGTATCGCAGCCAAATTGGAAGGCCATGCAGCCGATTTGGCCGTTTAAGAACAGGATGGGTCGTTCGAGGGATAACACTGCCATCTTTAGCTTACACTGGCAATTGAAAATACCGAGGACATAGTGATGACAGAGGACCGTGTGTGACTTTTCTGTCATATTCAGCTGTGTATTGAGGACCAGGAATTGCACCTGGAAATTAAGGACAAAGGGACAAAGGCTCTCACGTCTGGGGCCTCGAACATCATTCAGAAGGACTCCTTGGGGGTTGCTGGGAAACTGAGGGACCCTTTACCGGTGAGAGACAATGTCGAACAGTTTGTTTTGGATATCTGTCGACAAATGTATCGCTTGAAACCAACATGTTAATTAATCAGCGAGGCAACGACCATCTCATAAGACAGTGTCGCGGCCACCTTTGAAAGATGACGGCGACAAACCAAACACGGCCAGATATCAATATGCTACCTTGTGCACGAGCGCGCAGCCAGAGCCTTGGCAATGGGCCAGGGGCAGGCACAAGGTTGATAAAGGGCTCCCCAATAATGAAACCCCCCCCCCCCCCAAACAAAAATCTCACTGGCATTGGAGTGCCCCATCGTGCCGGCCGGGGCTCTGAATGGTCTTCCAGCCGACCTTTCTGGCCTTTGGGCCCTCAAACCAGGCCCTTTATCGTAAATCCCGAGGCCCCTCGGGTCCCCTGAAACCTTAGGCAGGGGGAACGTGCCCCCTGTGGCCTTCCCTCCCCTGTGCTCCTGCTTGCGCGTCAGGCTGTTGGTATGCGTTCAGATATAGGCAAATAACGGCGGATCGTAGGCTTTCTGCTGCTTAAATCATTCATCTATAATATAACAATCGTTTTACTCTATTTTATCATGGTGCACTTTCCGGTCGTCCCGTTAAAATCTAAATCAAGTCGGATAAATAGTAGCATACGCCATGTTAATACCTGCTGAACATTCTTCATGAAAAAGCCCCGCCCAGGCCGGTTGATATCACCAACGGATTTTGGCTCCATCGCCCTCCATACGACATTGGCTCCATGCTGTGGAATCGCCTCGGACCGAGTAACAAATGACTGCAGTTCATTAAACTACCCGATGAGTGTTTGCCCCGACGGCTGGCCACCCGGGACACTAAATGTTTTCCGTCCCCAACGGCCCGATTAGAGTAGGAGAAAGGGCAACCAACGCCTTTTGGGTTTCCATGACCCTTTAGCACTAGTAGTGCTAACAGTGCTAAAGCATCAGCAATGACCCGGTCGGCGGCACACTACTCGACGGCGGTTTTCCCGAAGCTTCTGCTGTTGCAACGGTTGCAGCAGAGGGCGGCCGGGGCTGAGGAGCGGGCAACGGATGCGACGCTCCAAACAGCGGTGGAAAAATTGACTCGAGGTGCTGCTGGAACTGTTTATCTGCTGACCGAGCTACTGCAGTTTCAGGTACTTCGGCGGGCAGCCGCCGTTCATCCCATTCGCAGGTGACTCCGACAGTCTCTTCTATACTGTCGGTGTTCCAGTCAGTATACAAAGTCCCATGTTGCTCGACCCTGCTCGCGCACCCCGGTGTCTTGGTGCTGTGGATGTGACTGGCGGCGCGAGTGCGCGGTGGCCTCCATTGGTGGGGTGCACAGTTCGTGGCCCGCCGTTGGGACGCGGCTTGTGCCGGCGTCAATGCAGCGGTGTACTTAATGATGGCCTCTTATGCGACTGAGTGTGGGTGAATGGTTCGCTGTTGGCGCAACTGTGAGTCACGCGCTCACGCTACCTGTTAAATGTGCCTTTCCCACGGCTTGCGTATGTGTTGGGTTTTTATATACGTGTCAATTACGCATATGCACTTTCTTCATACAAGCGGAATCCATGGTGCGGCGGGACGTAGCAATCAGCTGCTGACCGAGGAAGGAGGACCGTGAAACACTAAAATCAATGAGTCAGTCGTTACAGTCATTGCAGTCCGTCACTGAAGCCAAACGAGCTGCCTCATAAACATGTCGGCTGGTTGGCTGATGCGAGATTTCGTGCTCGACGCCCACGCGCCCATTTCAGTCTTCAAAAACTAGTCAAAGGCCCCTGTGGCCCACCACTTCCCAATGTAACAAGTGTGCTTTGGTTAAGTGTAGTGGTGTCAGATTTGCCAACGGATTTCAAAAATGACGTAGAGAAAGAAGCATTTGCATTGAATCCTGTATTGGAAAGATGCAACAGGAGAATGACACACGTAATTTGTTTCCAAATTGACATTCAGGTATAACGCATTTTTACCAATGGGGTGGGTCTGTTTCCATGCTTAGGTGTCATCTTCCGCCCAGAATTGCAAATCTCGCCACACTGCCCTTGGTGAGCACTGCTTTTTCACCGTTCATCAGCTCCATCTACACAGATTGCTACTATAAACGGGAGCAACAACATGGAGATCGTTTTTGTCCTTGCGAAATTTACTAGCGAGCATCATCCAAACGTGAACGAATTCGACATCTAATGTGTAAGTCACCGAGACTCACTTCGCCTTACGACGTGCTCTAACAATCACGTTATGGACATGGATTTAACATCTCCCCATGAGCGCTAGGACAGAGCATTTTCTGCTGACAGGGCACGTAAGCATGCAGCTTGGCCAGAAACCTCCATGCGGCTAATAAACAGGCCAAGCTGCCTCATCACAGCTGCCTTTTCCGCATTGCACCAGGCAATACGTCTTTTTTGCCAGTGGTGTTTTTTTCCTGAGCGTCATCGTTAGTCTCTCGATGTGAAGATGTCTCCTCCGGAAGCAAGTCTCCCTTCCCCTCTTGGCTTTTTGTCCAGGTAGGACATTTGCGACCTCCACCACACAATCGTCTTCACCCATGTCCTCCGGACCGTCCTCTTCTGCCATTGGTGCGCTGTTGAGGTGGTCGACTTCGTCCAGATTTTTCCCTTTGCAGACAGAGATGCCATTTTTGGTTCATTGGTTTTATACAACACGCATCACATCCCAGCCTACTCCTGTACATTTCGCTTCGATCCTGAGCATAAAGCACAGCGACTTTAAAACATGGAAAAGGGAAACAACATAACTGACCCAAAACGCAACGCCAACTGTATTCTCGCTCCGTTGTTTCGTAATCTACGAACTACACACTGCACAACTACATCTTTAGAATACCGCTCCGTATTTAAGATCATCTAGAAAATGCATACAGTTTGGCTCCAATGGTAATTTGCAGGCCGTCCAATGCTTGAAAGCGGACCTTCAAATACTCGCATCCTTAACGAGTGTCGCTCTCTTGGAGTAATCTGGAAAGCCGAAAACGGGTGAGATATGAGAAATTTCAGTTCAGAACAGGATTGTGACCCCCACGTGAAAGAAAGTTGTGCTTGTGTTCAGAAGCGTGGGCATGCACCACGCTGATGGCTCACGGGTGGTGGAATTAAAATAGCTGTGCAATAGTCGTGTCCCGAAAGATAGCTTTCCAGTTCACAGCAAATCCGTAAATGAATATCGGAGGCCACCGGCCTCCCGTCCGCGTACATATTACCCATCTTGTTAGAGCACATACACTGCCGTCAAGAAGAAGGAAGTGATGGGGCGGCGATGGGGGCGGAGAGAGGGGGACAACAATAAATCGTACTAAGCTCTAGCCACGCAGCCGAACTTAACCTGAAATTAGGCCAACGACGGCAGAGTCGCCAACATTCATCGTCAACGCGATCAGCAGCTACCGTGATTCGGACGGCCCTCATGCATGGTACGCGCGCCCGTTGGCAAACTATGGCGTGCCTGTCTTCATTCCTGTAGCCACGCACGCACAGCTGCGATGGGAATCGATTTAGAGAAGAGCAACAGTTGAGGTATCATCGCTGGCCGCATACGGCAAGTGTAAATCCATGCCCTGATGTCCTAGGCTTACTACGCCCTGCTAATGCCATGCTGTTCATGCACGCCATACGGTTAACAGTCGTAAGACAGCGAGGCATAACCGAAACGAGTTGTGGTAAAAAGCTTATTGCCTCTAAGCTCAAACAACGCATCAATAAGAAATGACGAAACTACGACAGACAGGCGGCGGTGGCCCACAGACCGTCATCCCAGCCCCCGGGCGAGTACGCCCCCCTAGCCCAAGTGTATGTCTACTGGCTGGTTGGTAAGAGTGGACAGTTTTCTGATCACTGCCATATCGCGGGTAGTGCAGGATGAAGGTAGTGTGCGTCATGATGCAAACATTATGACATATTTGATTTATGATTTTGGATCGAGTGCATATTGTGAGTGTGATTGCACGCTATATGTGAATGCATCAACAAAAATTACAAAAAGACCAGACAACCAAACCGCTGACCTGACCATCGCATTTGAAACTATCCAACGTCACACCGTGATGCTGGCCGCGAAACAGATGGGAGGCAGCCCCAATGCACATCAACGCCGTAACTGTTTTTGACAACGTGACACGCTGGAAGACCGACACCCCTCCTTGCTGCGGATGGGCTTCTCCACGCCATTGCGAGACACTCGTCTGTCTAGCCCCCGCAGACGAGGTCTCTTCGCAGGCATTTTGGTCTGCCCGGAGTGCGCAGACCAAAACCATGCTTAGTGTCCCCTCGATGGATTTTTGGCAACACCGTTATGGCCCGGAGCCGGATGTGGCAGCCAAACCCGCTACCACAAGCTATGTTCAGTGAGCGGCCGGACCCCACGCTCATGAAAGCGTCGGTGATTCCCGCGCAAACAAACCGGTGTTGGTGATGCATATATTATATACACACATATATATATATATATATATTATATATATATATATATATATATACATATATATACATACATATATATGTATGTATATATGTATATATACATATATACATATATGTATATATATATATATATGTATATATGTATATGTATATATGTATATATATAGATAGAGAGAGAGAGAGAGAGAGAGAGAGAGAGAGAGAGAGAGAGAGAGGAGAGAGAGAGAGAGAGAGAGAGAGATGGAGGGAGGGAGGGAGGGAGGGGAGGGAGAGGGAGAGGGAGAGGGAGAGGGAGAGGGAGAGGGAGAGGGAGATGGAGAGGGAGAGGGAGAAAGGGGAGAGGGAGAGAGAGAGAGAGAGAGAGAAGAGAGAGAGAGATATATATATATATATATATATATATATATATATATCATTGATCCCGTCGTAAAATGCGTAAAACAACATACAGTAATGACCCAAGGCCTGGTTCATTCGTCCCATTCATGGGAAATAATTAAAGAAACAGTGTTGCAGCAAACATCCTAAGCCACGCACATTTCACATACGATGAAAAAACCGGGACTGCCAGCGACTACAAACTTTTTAAAGCAGCTTCTGCACCCCACCTGTTCGAATTTGGCAGGGAAACTGCTTACGAGGCCTATTTCCACCATCGCCAATGCTTCTCATTGTTCTTCGGGTAGCCGTGCCCGCGGTAAATATTCTCGAGAACCCATGAGCTTGAACTCTTGACCCGAACACCCCAAAATCTGTCTTTCCCGAAGAAAATCATGCTCCATATTGCAAATAGCGTGTGAAAATGCTGTTGCGTGTAAGTCCTTAAACATCCCAAATATAGCCTGAGTTACCTTTGTTGCAGTAAACTTTCCGGAGGGCTTCTTTTAGAGGACTAAACTTCTTTAACTCTCCCAATGGTATACATATAGGCCACCTGAGAAAAAAAGTTTTTGCATGTTTTCATTAAAGAATGACGCCATGCACCGGTGGTGCCACAGAGAAGGAGCACTAAATGTTGACAAGACCATTCGATGACGCGGATGCGGGTGTACCTACGTAATTGCAGGCCGCGATATGTAAGTGGTGTTGGTGCAGGTGGTGGTGGCGTTAGTTTCAGAATAAAGTGGGGCTGGTACAGTCGACACGTGCTTGCGTAGACCAGCAATGAGGATGGTGGAATGAGATACCAAAATGACGTTACACTGAGGTCACGCACCATGCAGGAGCTGTTATGGTCACACACTGGTAGGGGGGGGGGGGGGAGGCAGACATTGGTAGTGTTGGCAGGATCAGACACTGGTGAAACTGGCAGGGCAATGGGGTCAGCTGCATGGAGCCGACACTTGCATGGAGCTGGAGGGGTCAGACACCATGGTGGGATGGGTAGACCCAGACATTGTGGTGGGGTGCATGGTGTCATGCACTGTAATGACATCCTACTGGTTAAGGCACTGATACGGATGGTGGAGCCAGGCAGTGTAGTGGCATATTTGTGGGGGTCGGACGATGTAGTGGTGTTGGCAGTGTTGGACAATGTGATGGGGTAGATGGAGAAATAAAAGCATGCATGAAATGCTAGGTTAGAGCTGATGACAACAAATTCTACATGTCACAAATGCTTCACACCTTCTTCAGAGTAGTCATTTCCTAAATAATTTGACTTTCCTGACATCAACTGACCTGAATCAAGCCGGTCGCACTAAGGCTTTCTGGTCTTCAATAGCTCTAATGTCCAGTGGCTATCACATCACCTGAAACAGCAACAATGCTAAAAATTATTCAGTGGGTGGAGATTAACTAAGGGCTAAGTAAGTATTTGTTTTCTTTTTAGCGCCCCGGAGGTGTTCATTGTATCTTAAACGTGAGGGACGCATGGACTTCCCGACATAGACTCAAACAAAACAGGGAATACCCCATTCGGTGACCATTTTTTGGCAAAACATGCTCAGGCTGAAATCGAGGGAGATATGGACCCTATGCCCCTTTCAGAGCCCAAAGTCGTCTACAGAGCAGAGGACCACCCAGGTAGGGAAAAATTGAATCTATTCTTGCAAAAAATCAGCGACCAAATTTTAACATACAAAGCTCATCCTGGCCGATTATGCAAACGTGATATGTGCCTTTATATGCGATGTGTGCTAGCTTAAAATAGTTAACATGTGAAGTGACGCCTGACGCGTGATGTGCGATGTCTGTTCAGTTGAAATCGCTTGCATGTATAATTGATGCGCGACTGTGATGCCTGTTAACCTCAACTCGCTTGTATGTTTGAATGAAGCGTAATGCATGACGCCTACTTGCTTGAATTAGTTTGCATGTACACGTATTGTCGCCTACTCTAATTATTAGATAAGCACCGTATCGTGGTAACGGCTAGCAAAAACTTTTTGTTTAATCCTCTAAGAGTTGGTGTCCTGTAAGAACTGGCTTTCTATTTCCAAAAAAGCTGAAAAATCGAGTAGGTTCACCAGCAGGCAATTTTGAATTTATTTCTGCTACTTTTTCGATATAGGCATGTTGCCGAAATATCAACTCAACTATATCTTTATTCTGCCGGTTTTTCTTCGACGAATAAGGCTATTAATATCGTCTTAGCTATGTGAAAAATGCTCCTCTGCTAACGCTAATGCACTGAACAACTTACGTAATCTTGCACAACATTGATTTGAGCCAACTGACGGCCGTTACGTCTGAAAATTTATTCACAAAGCCGGATATGAACGACGTAACAGTCATATGATGGCTTGCCTTAATCGCCCTATGGCCAATGAAATGGCAGGATTTGGAGACATTACGCGTTGTGGGTGCTTGGGTGACCTTGAAATAGTCACCACGAAATAATATACGCACCTTTGCAGGTGTGTAGCTCAGAAACTAGAAAAGTTTAGAAAATTAGAAGGGTGCTTAAGAATGGCAGGACTGTGTAACATACTGAATGATCTTCAAGATGGCTAATTTCAGTTGAAACCCATACAAATGTGGCACACACCCTTTTATGCTCTGGTATCTACAACACACTAAGGTTCCGATGTATGGAAAACCTTGTTTGTAATGATTTCCCCTTCAAGGCTAAATTGGTGCCCAAAGCCTCTAAAAACGTGTTGTTCTAGGGGGTTGGGGAACATGTCTGTAAGTACCTAACGGCAACATTTTTGAAATGTAACACAACACCCACTGCAAATGCATGAGAAAAACTGCAAGCATCCCCCTTACAAACGTCTGGTCTAGCGTGATAAACCTACCAAAACAATTGCATAATATTGCTGAAGTCAATCTCTTCAACCACCTTCAAAAGCTGACACAATGTTTGCCACTTCAGAAACTATCCTTATCGGCACACCATTCTCTAATCAATCAAGGCAGATCAGTCCTCCATTTGCTACAGTTGTCGGTAAAGAGGGCTCACCAATCCCTTTCGAATATTCACTACTCACTTTTCAAAACCTTGCCGGACGACAATAACTTGCATCCAACGTAAGCCCAGTCTTCTCGTCCGAGAGGCCACACACTGCAATGTCACCGTCGCGCTCGTTCCAAGAACGCGCAATGGCGGTGATAGAGCTACGCAACCCATGTGACTTAATACAATGTACATTAATGTTTTTCATCACCAGTTTCAACGTGATTCAGTGTGATTTAAATGCTTACACCGAACGCAAACAACTTACAAGTGATGAGGCCATATCATGGAGCAGCATGATTTCGCATTTCCTTATTCATCTCTATTCTCTTCCACGTGACCTTGCCACCTGAAAAACATACACACGCCCGCAGTTCGTCCAAGAAAACACACTTCACACAACCGGAAGTAAAAATGCACATAATCACGCCTTTCGAGGACCAGCTGAAAATCAAATAAACATGTTCAAACAAGACTAAATATCTCATTTAAGGCCTCTGAAAACCGAGGTCCGGCATTTGGACCTCGGTAGTGACTACCGGACCGCGGCAGTGACGGGTTGTTGGGTGTGTAAGCGGATTCGGTCCTCTGTTTTCACGGCGCACACACACACACACACACACACACACACACACACACACACACACACACACACACACACACACACACACACACACACACACACACACACACACACACACACGCACGCACGCACGCACGCACGCACGCACGCACGCACGCACGCACGCACGCACGCACGCACATTGTGTGCCGTGCTTTACGGGACACCTGGCTTAACCGTCACTACCGAGAACCACCCGAACGAATGGCGGCATCGCAGCCAAACTGGAAGGCCATGCAGCCAATTGGCCGTTTAGGAACAGGATAGGTGGTTCGAGGGGTCAAGCTGCCATCTTTAGCTTACACTGGCAATTGAAAATACCGTGGACATAGTGATAACAGAGGACCGTGTGTGACTTTTCTGTCATATTCAGCTGTGTATTGAGGACCAGGAATTGCACCTGGAAATTAAGGACAAAGGGACAAAGGCTCTCACGTCTGGGGCCTCGAACATCATTCAGAAGGACTCCTTGGGGGTTGCTGGGAAACTGAGGGCCCCTTAACCGGTGAAAGACGATGTCGAACAGTCTGTTTTGAATATTTGTCGACAAATGTATCGCTTGAAACCAACATGTTAATTAACCAGCGAAGCAACGACCATTTCATAAGCCAGTGTCGCGGCCACCTTTGAAAGATGACGGCGACAAACCAAACACGGCCAGATATCAATATGCTACCTCGTACACAAGTGCGCAGCCAGAGCCTTGGCAATGGGCCAGGGGCACGCACAAGGTTGATAAAGGGTTCCCCAATAGTGAAAGCCCCCCCCCCCCCCCAAACAAAAATCTCACTGGCATTGGAGTGCCCCATCGTGCCGGCCGGGGCTCTGAATGGTCTTTCAGCCGACCTTTCTGGCCTTTGGGCCCTCAAACCAGGCCCTTTATCGTAAATCCCGAGGCCCCTCGGGTCCCCTGAAACCTTAGGCAGGGGGAACGTGCCCCCTGTGGCCTTCCCTCCCCTGTGCTCCTGCTTGCGCGTCAGGCCGTCGGTTTGCGTTCAGATATAGGCAAATAACGGCGGATCGTAGGCTTTCTGCTGCTTAAATCATTCATCTATAATATAACAATCGTTTTACTTTATTTTATCATGGTGCACTCCGTTCGTCCCGTTAAAGTATAAATCCAGTCGGATAAATAGTAGCACACGCCATGTTAATACCTGCTAGACATTCTTCATGAAAAAGCCCCGCCCAGGCCGGTTGATATCACCAACGGATTTTGGCTCCATCGACCTCCATACGATATTGGCTCCATGCTGTGGAATCGCCTCGGACCGCATAACAAATGACTGCAGTTCATTAAACCACCCGATGAGTGTTTGCCCCGACGGCTGGACACCCGGGGCACTAAATGTTTCCGTCCCCAACGGCCCGATTAGAGTAGGAGAAAGGGCAACCAACGCCTTTTGGGTTTCCATGACCCTTTAGCCCTAATAGTGCTAACAGTGCTAAAGCATCATCAATGATGCGGTCGGCGGCACACTACCCGACGGCGGTTTTCCCGAAGCTTCTGCTGTTGCAACGGTTGCAGCAGAGGGCGGCCGGGGCTGAGGCGCGGGCAACGGATGCGACGCTCCAGACAGCGGTGGAAAAATTGACTCGAGGTGCTGCTGGAACTGTTTATCTGCTGACCGAGCTACTGCAGTTTCAGGTGCCTCGGCGGACAGCCGCCCTTCATCTCATTCGCAGGTGACTCCGACGGTCTCTTCTACAATGTCGGTGTTCCAGTCAGTATACAAAGCCCCATGTTGCTCGACCCTGCTCGCAAACATCGGTGTCTTAGGGCAACAGCACACAGCCTCTAATGCTGTGGATGTGACTGGCGGTGCGAGTGCGCGGCGGCCTCCATTGGTGGGGTACACAGTTTGTGACCCGCTGTTGGGATACGGCTTGTGCCGGCGTCAATGCAGTGGTTTACTTCATGATGGTCTCTTTTATGCGACTGAGTGTGGGTGAATGCTTCGCTGCTGGTGTAACTGTGAGTCACGTGCTCACGCTACCTGTTAAATGTGCCTTTCCCACGGCTTGCGTATGTGTTGGGTTTTTATATACGTGTCAATTACGCATATGCACTTTCTTCATACAAGCGGAATCCATGGTGCGGCGGGACGTAGCAATCAGCTGCTGACCGAGGAAGGAGGACCGTGAAACACTAAAATCAATGAGTCAGTCGTTACAGTCATTGCAGTCCGTCACTGAAGCCAAACGAGCTGCCTCATAAACATGTCGGCTGGTTGGCTGATGCGAGATTTCGTGCTCGACGCCCACGCGCCCATTTCAGTCTTCAAAAACTAGTCAAAGGCCCCTGTGACCCACCACTTGCCAGTGTAACAAGTGTGCTTTGGTTAAGTGTAGTGGTGTCAGATTTGCCAACGGATTTCAAAAATGACGTAGAGAAAGAAGCATTTGCATTGAATCCTGTATTGGAAAGATGCAACGGGAGAATGACACACCTAATGTTTCCAAATTGACATTCAGGTATAACGCATTTTTACCAATGGGATGGGTCTGTTTCCGTGCTTAGGTGTCATCTTCCGCACATAATTGCAAATCTCGCCACTGCCCTTGGTGAGCACTGCTTTCTTACCGTTTATCAGCTCCACCTACACAGATTGCTACTATAAACGGGAGCAACAAGGAGATCGTTTTTGTCGTTGCGAAATTTACGAGCGAGCATCATCCAAACGTGAACGAATTCGACATCTAATGTGAAAGTCACCGAGACTCACTTCGCCTTACGACGTGCCCTAACAATCACGTTATGGACATGAATTTAACATCTCTCCATGAGCGCTAGGACAGGGCATTTTCTGCATGTTTTTTTCTGCATTTTCTGCATCATATGTCCATGTCCCCCCGGGCGGCCGCCTACTCGGACTTTTGATTAGGTCGCCGCTCAGGGTACCGGATCGGCTGCCGAATACGCCATAATGCCGTCGGACTCTGCCGCCGCCCATGGCACCGAACTCTGCTGCCGCTCAGTACAGCAAACTCTGCCGCCGCTCATGGCACCGGACTCTGCTGCCGCCCGTGGCACCGAACTCTGCTGCCGCTCAGTACAGCAAACTCTGCCGCCGCTCATGGCACCGGACTCTGCTGCCGCCCGTGGCACCGAACTCTGCTGCCGCTCAGTACAGCAAACTCTGCCGCCGCTCATGGCACCGGACTCTGCTGCCGCCCGTGGCACCGAACTCTGCTGCCGCTCAGTACAGCAAATTCCGCCGCCGCTCATGGCACCGGACTCTGCTGCCGCCCGTGGCACCGAACTCTGCCGCCGCTCATGGCACCGGACTCTGCCGCCGCTCATGGCACCGGACTCTGCCGCCGCTCATGGCACCGAACTCTGCTGCCGCCCGTGGCACCGAACTCTGCCGCCGCTCATGGCACCGGACTCTGCTGCCGCCCGTGGCACCGAACTCTGCTGCCGCTCAGTACAGCAAACTCTGCCGCCGCTCATGGCACCGGACTCTGCTGCCGCCCGTGGCACCGAACTCTGCCGCCGCTCATGGCACCGGACTCTGCCGCCGCTCATGGCACCGGACTCTGCTGCCGCCCGTGGCACCGAACTCTGCCGCCGCTCATGGCACCGGACTCTGCCGCCGCTCATGGCACCGAACTCTGCTGCCGCCCGTGGCACCGAACTCTGCCGCCGCTTATGGCACCGGACTCTGCCGCCGCTCATGGCACCGGACTCTGCCGCCGCCCGTGGCACCGAGCTCTGCCGCCGCCCGTGGCACCGGACTCTGTCGCCGCTCACGGCACCGGACTCTGCCGCCGCTCATGGCACCGAACTCTGCCGCAGCCCACGGCACCGGACTCTGCTGCCGGTCATCGCGCCGGGCCGTCGGCCGTCGGTGGCGACTCACTGCCTATTTCCGGCGTGACGTATCGGTGGGGTTCGTCGGCCGCGCCTGCGCGCGCCGCTGCCGGGCCTCAGCACGTGGTGGCGCGGCCGCTGACGTAAGGTGCCCTCAGTCGCCGTCAGTCGCCGCCGCGGCCGGATCTCTTCCGCTGACCGCCGCTGTACAGGTGGGTCTTCGGCTGTCCCCGGGACGGAATGGGACGGGATGGGAGGGGGGCAGCCCCCCCCCCTCCCCGACAGCCCGCCTGATGTCGATGGTCGTTGGTTTGGGGGATGGCCGACACCCGGCTGGATCATCGGCCACGTGCGTGTATTGATCGGGGCTACTGCGTGGCGGCGCCGACTAGCCGAGCGCGGGCCTGAGGGCTTCGGGTGCCGCCTGAACTGGAGAGGCACCCAGGGCTCTGTGGGGCAGGATGTTGACGTGGCTAGCCGACCCGCCTGCACCCGGCGGCCGGCGTAGCCATGGAAACGTGCTCCGATGCTTTGGAGCATCTGCATGGGGCGTGGCGGTCGATGACAACGGCCAAGGCTTTTCATTTACGTGAAATACTGAATCTGACTTGATAGAACACGACACCCGAGTGGTGAGGCTGCTACTCGCTGCCTTCTTCACTGTTTGTGTTATCTGATGACGGTCATGCACTATCGGTGGTGCAGCATGATTCCCATTTTCATTGCGTTCGGTAAGCTGGATCACTAGGCCGTTGTGTTAATGCGCGGCGTTGCACTCAATTTGTGACGTGCGCTGATACGGCTGTCTATCTCTTACCCTGACCACTTAATGGCGGGCAGTTGGACTCGGTCATGGAAACATTGAGTTTATGTCCTGGTACGGCTTATCAACAAGCGTCTAGAATGTCTTTCGTTATGCGTGGTCCGCCCGTCCGGTTGAGGTAGTGAATGTCGGGCGTGTGTGGGGTCCCGCGCAGCTCGAGCTGGTGCGGCGGACCCAGCCTGGTGCCGCGCGGCGTGTGGCCCAGGTCACCGACGCCGTCTCGCCGCACGCGCCGTCGCAGCGGCCGCCCGCCGTCCGTCCCACGCGCTGCCGCTCGATACGTACTCCCTGTATATCTCACGTCGGACGCGAAAATAGGGAAGAGGCGCCTACCAGCTTTGGTGCATAACAAGGTGGCCGTTCGCCTTGTGCCGAAATTTCGCACGGCTGGGACGGAATGGCCGGCGAGCTGACGAGACCCGCGTGTTTTGGAGAGGCGTGACCCGTGACCCGTCCGCTGCGGGGTGCCCCACGGGGTCAGTCCATTGGCGACCTCGAGCCGGCATGTGTGCTAATCACTTCAAAATGACTGTTATCTGCAACAGGATATGGCCAAATGATAGACTCGTTCTTCCAGCTGTGACCGAGGCCAGAAGTAGCAGTTGCATTCCTCTGTCTGATGCGTGAAGCGTCAATTTATTTTGCAGTCCACACTCGGCGATGTAGAAAGTTGTGTTAACCACGAAAGATCAGCATATAGTTTAGCATTGTGTTTGAGTGCAGACAAACGAAGGGGCTGGCCCCGAATTTCAGGTCGTTCGATACATCGTTCTTAAGAATTCTAGCCGTGACCATACTTCATTCCGAGTGTAGCGAACTTTAGATGTGGTTCGTCCGAGGTCAGTCCGGTCAGTCCGGAGGGCGACCGGACGGACCCGGAGCCGTGACCATACTTGATTCCGAGTCTAGCGAACTTTAGACGTGGTTCGTCCGAGGTCAGTCCGAGGTCAGTCCGGAGGGCGACCGGACGGACCCGCTTCCGCTATCTGAACTACGTTCGCAGCAGCTTATGATCGGGCTAATGAGGGGGTTCCGGCTAGTCCCGTCTCCGCCCTCGGCTGAACACCCAGTTGAGGGCGAGCGGCCGGGAGCAGCGCGCCCGGCGGGTCACCGCAAATAGGGCCGCGGCGACTGGTGTCGTGGCGTTTCGCAGCTGCTTGCCGGCGCCAGGCCACATGTGGACGATCGTTCGGTGGTGCCCCGCTCCGATTGTGGGCGGGCTTGGACTGGGTCCTGGGCACCTGCGGCTCAAACTGGGATAGTGGCGGATGTGTCCGTACACGGCACATTTCCACGCTGTGGCCAGGTGCCAGGTTATCAATCTGTCAACTGGTAACACAGCTGGGCCCTCCTGGAAGATCTTCGATCATCCTCCACGTGCCGCAATTCCATTGGGAGGTGCAATACGTATGCTCTTTGCGCAACACTTATTCATACAGTAACAATGCAGTGAGTGTTGCATTGCGTTTTACGAACAACGAACGGAGTCCGCCGTCTTGCAGTCGGCTAAGGTTACGCAGCTCCCGGGTAAAGATGGGAGGAACCGGTCGATGCAGGCTGGCAGGGGCTTGCGCCAGCCGCTCTCCTCGGCTGTCTGTGTGGGGGGTGTGGTGCGGGATCGCCTGGGCGCTGTGCCAGGCGCCGCGGCCCCGCCCCGCCCCTACCGCGTGCGCCTCGGACACATCGTCACGGCTGTGGGCACGGCGGGCGTAACCCGAGCGGGTTGGATCCGGGAACAGGAGGCATCCGGGGCTGGAGCGTCACCGAAACACGGGCCAGCGCCGCCCAGCGCCGCCCACCGGGAGGGCGGCGCTGGGCCCACGGGCCGGGGCGTCATCCGCTGACTCCGGTGAGTTGGGACTCGGCACAGACTCGTCTGGTGGGGCGGGCGCAGCGCGGGGTCTGGTGAGGCTGGGGTGGCCTGCCGAGGCTGTGGAGACTAGAGGGCATACCCGGTTCCTGCCCCCAATAAAGCTAACAAGCAGCGAGCAACGAGCAACCAGCAGCGAGCTAACGCGACTTCTGAGCGCTGATAGTGATGACGACACTGGTGACGAGTGCGCAGTCAGCGTGGTGTGTGCAGTGCTGACCGCGGCAGCGAGATCACTGGAGCCGCCGGCGCCCATGTGGTCCCTTGTTGAAGCCGCACTTCGTGAGCTTATGAAGCGCCTCGTGTGAGTGTGTAGGCTGATGAGCGCAGGCCGGCTGATGGCCTCGCGAATAATAAAACTGATGTAAAACGAATGAATGCTCGCGTGAAGCAACGCTCGGTGTTACATTCTGTAGCTCGTATGTCGGAGTAAATTGCAATAACCGATATATGTGCCAACAATTTTTCATGTTTGATTATAATCGCTATGTTAAATGGCATGGAGTGGAGCTGATCCTGGCATGTGTCCCAATGCACAAGAATGCTGATCAGCTCGGATGAGTTGTGGCTGGCTTAGGATGTGTCACATGATCGGACGTCACATGATAAATCATGAAATGCGGCATAGAAGCGTACTCTCGTAACCGAGCGAACCTGGGCTCGATGCTCTCGTAATCGAGCGGAGCTGGGCTCGATGCTCTCGTAACCGAGCGGGGCTGGGCTCCATCCTGTCGTAACCGAGCGGAGCTGGGCTCGATCCTCTCGTAACCGAGCGAAGCTGGGCTCGATTCTCTCGTAACCGAGCGGAGCTGGGCTCGATCCTGTCGTAACCGAGCGGAGCTGGGCTCGATCCTGTCGTAACCGAGTGGAGCTGGGCTCGATCCTGTCGTAACCGGGCGGAGCTGGACTCGATCCTGTCGTAACCGAGCGGAGCTGGGCTCGATCCCGTCGTAACCGAGCGGAGCTGGGCTCGATCCTGTCGTAACCGAGCGGAGCTGAGCTCGATCCTGTCGTAACCGAGCGGAGCTGGGCTCGATCCTGTCGTAACCGAGCGGAGCTGGGCTCGATCCTGTCGTAACCGAGCGGAGCTGAGCTCGATCCTGTCGTAACCGAGCGGAGCTGGGCTCGATCCCCACTGTTTTCCCATTGTTTGTCCCTGTCGATGTGAGAAGGTCGCTGCGTTTAGGCAACCCTGCACGAGGCGGTTGAGTTTTAGCGCAGCGTACCGCTGTACTGTGTGACAAACATGCCGCGGACAATCATTTGCTATTTATAATTATGAATCAACGGTTTAAGTGTGTGCTGTATTCGGCAAGGTGGGCCTAATAGTTGCGCGAAACTAGAGCCTTCCGTGCATGCTGTCCTGAACGAAAATGATTCCGTCATCGGTGACGAAAACATGACGATTCCATTTTGTGAAGGTGATTTAATAGTGCAATGCATGCCGGTCATTGCGTCTAAGATACCTGGATGTGTTACCATGATTCTCGAGTACTCAGTAGCGAGCTGCCAATCGGATAACAAGCACCATGTGAGGCGCAAGGTGTGCTCCAATAGCTTATCAGCAGTATGACCGTATGTATGGTTGTATTGGCCGAGTCGTTCCTCCCTCCCCTTCTGGCGTGCAGCAACGTGGTGTCCACCCACAACAGCACCGCACGCGAGATCCGGAGACACCCACTGTCATTTCTCACTTGACAGACATGAAATATCGACTGCGAGCCGTTTGACCCCAATCGCGTGCAGTTCTCTCGCAGAATGTCGCTACGGACACTCGTGCGTTGTTTAAAAGTAAGCATTTGCTGTTTCAACAAAAGAGTCACACTCATCAACGCATCGCGAAGCCCCGCCTCGCTGCGGTCCATTGCCGGTGACCCATTCAGCGGGCGCTTCCCCCAGTAGCCCTCCTCTGATTTCACCTGCCCGGTGGGTTCTGACGCGGTGTGGCCACGCGTCCCGTGCCGTCCTGACTGATCGTTGCTCTGCGTCATCCCGTGCGTGCCTTCTGCAGCGGAGTGTTTCCGGAAGCCGTCGGCACCATGGGGGAGGAGGTGGCGCGCCGCGGCAGCGGCTCATCCTCGGCCGGCGACGGCCACGTCAAGCTGAAGAAGGAGCTGGGCCTCCTGGAGGGCGTGGCTGTCATCCTCGGCATCATCATCGGCTCAGGTAGGACCCACCGATCTGACACGCGTCTGGTGCTGCGCAGGCGGGTTCGCGTCTCGGTACTCTAGACGCCGGCACTGTGTTCTCGCTGGGCTCAAGCGCCGTGGACTAATGGCGCCATTAGTTTGCTCTGAGCTATGACCTCAGTAACTTCAGTTGTTTCGGGGTACTCTGAGTGCTGTGGCTCTTGGTATTCAGACGTTGCGTTCCACATACCATGAAGTCTAGCTTTGTGGCACTCAGACTCCGGAAAATTGCCGTCAGGCGAGACCCATTATGAACCATGCGCGTTGCACTAGGCCAGATGTGGCGTGGGGAAGAATAGCTGATGTCAGACCATGCCTGCTCCGGAAATTTGGCTGGTACAAGATGCGTGAGGGAGCGTTGTTGGCTGGCTGCTGCTCCTCTGTTCTACTCAATGAAAGCGTTGCGACGTATGCTGCAATGTCGCTCAGCGATGTGGCCGAACTGTTTACATATGTGGATCCCGTTGACATGTTTGTTGAGATCGCAGTAAGTGACCACCCTTGACCGTCTTTTCAAATACACAATGCACGGGATTAGACGTTCTGGCAAACATTTTCTGCGATGCGCGGTGTCAGTTGGTACCGAGGTGGCAAACGTCCGTGGCACACTTTGGACTGAGTTGCAACACGGCATCTAACCAAGTGGTGTAATGTCACGCGTGGGGGCCGTCTGAGCGCGTGGTGACGAAAGTCACTAGTGTGCTGTCGATCCCATTGTTCCCTTACCCCAGTCTGCTTGGTACCGTAGGTCATATGGATACTAGGGGCGGTTTACAGCGTTGTAAAAGTTAGGAGGCGGTGGTGGTGGCGGGTAAACCACTGAGGTGTCCGAACCACAGCACGTTTTAGCAGAGCTGGATTATTTTGTGTTCTCAATGCTGTAACGCGGCATGTAAGCTCATTGAAGCCCAAATGAGCGTTATTCCGACACCTGCTGGGATATGTCGCCGCCTGTGGCATTAGGAAGTTCTCTCCCATTCTGGTACGTCAAGATATAATCGCCAGACGAAAAAGCAGCGGCAATCAATATCCAGCCGGTTAACGATCAAGCCGGTTGACGAATTGCATTAAACCAGTCTCCAGAATGAGGAAAAACTGCAGTATACTGCATGATGAAAAGTTGACGTGCAGGCTTTTACGGATAACGTCATAGGGAAATAATTTGGCTGAACATCGATTTCCCTCCGCTAGGATGTGTTAAATTGATGACCAGCCAGATTTTGAGATATTGATAGGCCTGTTTGGGACGGTTCAGAAGTTACTCAGGAAACAGAGGGAGGGGGGGAGGGGCTTACTTCTAACTTCCCCAAGCTGTTCCTGCTTAGCGTGCCGTTGTCCCCGGCTACCGGTAGTGTAGTGCCTAAGCTGCGCGTCTGGGAAATCAGAGGTGCGGAGCTCGAGTCCCCGTGGCGCCCGCTCTTCCCACCACGGCGAGAGGCAGGCAACGTCATATGGTTAAGCTGCGCGTCTGGGAAATCGGAGGTACGGAGCTCGGGTTTCGCGGTGCCGCCCTCCCTGCCAGGGTGGGAGGCACGCGACGCCTCATAGCTGCCACAGTTGCGGGCGGCGTAAAGCCACGATGACGACGACGACGTGTGGTTATCCCTGTAGACGATGTGCTTTTATCTGAGCATATCGCCCTTAAGACGGAAGGCCCAAACCGTTCATCGTTGTCTGACTTTTGTCTAACGGCGCCTGATGGCCCGCACGCCCTCTGTTGCGCCGACCGCGCTGTGACCTGAGCCGCTTCGGCCCGCCCGGCAGGCATCTTCATCTCGCCGAAGGGCGTGCTGGTCGAGTGCGGCTCGGTGGGCATGTCGCTGGTGGTCTGGAGCCTGTGCGGCCTGCTCTCCATGATCGGCGCGCTCTGTTACGCCGAGCTCGGCACCACCATCCCCAAGTCGGGCGGCGACTACGCCTACATACTGGAGGCGTTCGGACCGCTGCCGGCCTTTCTCTTCCTCTGGGACGCCAACCTCATCTTCGTGTGAGTGAGGAGGAGGGGGAGAGGCGGGTGTCGGAACAGGCGGGTGAGCTGTGATCTCAGTGTTGGCTCATTCGCCCCGCCGTCATTTTGTGTAGGTTTAAAATAGCTAGCACAGCAAGGTTTGCTGTGCTAGACGATCTTGGGTAAGCTGTTTGAGTCGGCTTTATTTTCTCGCTCTGTTTCACTGACAGCCTTGAGGGTGCGCTCGCTGCTAGTCCGAGCCGTCCTGGGACGCTTTACACATATTGCTAAGCGATAAATTGCAAACACGCAAGTACCGCACACAAACACGCACGCACGTACGCACGCACGCACGCACGCACGCACGCACGCACGCACGCACGCACGCACACGCACGCACGCACGCACGCACACTCGCTAATAAGATTGCGCTTTGTTCATGCATGAGACATATCGGCTTGCGTGGTGGTTTTACTCAGTCCAGACCCCGTTGTATATATAAATATATGCAGCTGTTTATTATAGATCAGAGTTGCCTTGCAACAAAGCCATTTTACCGGGCCATTCCCTCGAGTTATGTGCGACGAGTGATTCCATCCATCCGCAGAGGGATGCTGTCATCAGTCCCAGTGTCTACCAGGGACCAGAGTCGCGCGTGCAGGCTCCGCCGGCGCGCGACTGTAAGGGTGCCCGCGCGGAGTCGTTACAGTGCCGTCCCAGACACCACTGCTCGTTAGGCGCGCCTCGGTACCCGCTGGGACGTCGCGTCTGCCGGCGGAGGCGGCGCCGGCGCGATGGCTCGTGCCAGGCGGCGCCCGGTAGTCGCGCTCTGGTCGGGTGCAGGGCATCACAGCTGGGCGGGTGGCTGTGGACTCAATCTTCCCGACTAGGGGCAAGCTGGCTGTCGTGTCTCTGCCGCTGGTGCTGACGTCTCAGAGCCGGATAAGACGGCATACGGCGTGACCTGGCGGCGTGCCGTTCTCATGTCAGGTGTGGGGAACGTCAGTTTCTGATCGCCAGCCACTCCCTGCGTTCGATCACATCTGCCGGCCGGAGATGTAGCCACTGACACCCGTCAGCCAGTGCGAGGCGCTGGCCGTCGTCATTGTCGGGCTCGGCGAGCATAGCAGGAATTCTGTCAGCTCCGATGGGGTCAACTGACGATTGGAGGGGGGGGGGGGGGGACTGCGTGAGGTCCGATGCGTGGGCGTCGCCGGTCAGCAATGGGCTCCGCGTGGGGGCGCGCGGCTCCGTTTAACGCGGTGTTTGTATAGCTGATGCCATGAGTGTCGTCTGCCCGCGTGCAGCGTCACAGCAACCGCGTGAACGCTGAGTTCGTGGAGTGCTGCATCGTGCCTCTGCTATTGAACCGCTGTGGTTGGTTTAGCGGGGTAGCGCTGCTCGCAGCGTTCGTCCTGTAGAGCGGCGCCCTCATAACGGGACAAGGCACTCATCGCCGTCCAATCGCTGACTGAGCTGGAGTCACAGTGGCCTGTTCAGCGCAGCCTCCGAAAATCATGGAGTGTGAGGTGGCGTAGAAGGTGGCTTAAAAACAGTGTGAAGAAAAGCATCATCCTGCAGGTCCAAGCTCCAGTCAGTCATAACCACATGCAATATGTCTTTTTGAAGAACAACGCACCACGTACACAATCACAGCCCATGTTTCCGCGCCTGGCTTTGCTCGGGCCTCGGACAGCTGTCTCTTTCGTTTGTCCTGCTGCTTTTTGCGATGTTCCGTTGCCCACGCCATGGGAAGGCATAACGTCTGTGTGACGGGACTTTGGCCACACTGTTGCAGCCCAACAACCAACGCCATCATGGGCCTGACGTTCGGAAACTACGTACTCCAGCCCTTCTTCCCTAATTGTGACATCAACTCCTACGCAGTCCGCCTGCTGGCCGCTGCTGCCATCTGTGAGTGACCGCCAGAAACTTCCCTGCACAGCCGCGTTTCCCAGGGTTCTGGCATTAAGCTTATTATCGCGCTGCATAACGTTGTCCTTGAAGTGAGAATAGTATTTGAAAACTGACTCGAGAAGCAGTTCATTGGGTGTTCTGCCAGCCCATTTTACGAAGGTTCTGGGCATCGAACGGTTTGAACATTGATTTTGACACATTGTTGACCCAGTTTAAATTAGCGTGTCGCGGTCAGTGGGCCGCGTGGCACGGAGCCATGGCGCTCGGACGTCGCCACCTGACGTCAGCCTGCGTCACGAGCTAAAGCGGCCGGTTGCCGGCTCTATTTCCAGGCATTCTAACCTTCATCAACTGCTACAATGTCAAGGTGACGACGCGGCTGCAGAACCTGTTCATGGTCACCAAGCTGCTGGCCCTGGTCCTTGTCATCGTGGTCGGCCTGGTGGTGCTCTGCATGGGTAGGTGGTGCCGCTGCTGGCTCGGCCCGGACTGCTGACGGCCTCTGCATTGGTACCGCCTGTACTGCCATTGATACCTCGGGTTATTCCGCCCGGACCGCCGGTTGTCTCTCTTCCGGTCCCACACGAGCTGTGGGCAGTCCCTGTTGCAATGCACTGGTCCCACAGACATGGCTGCGCCCTCCGGGGGACCACCAGCTAGGAGTCTAGCCTTGGAGCTCCAGCCCGCCACTCGTCAGGCTGAGACACAGCTCATCTGATCATTCGTATGATGTCATTACTCCCTGGTCAGCCTGTGGCATTGGAAGGGGCAAGGGAACGCCAGGGCAACAGCGTTGTAAGGCAGTGCACGGGATGGTTTAAGTCATCAGGGGCCGCCATTGTCTGTCATCGGCCCTTTGTTAGGCAGTACACGGGAAGGTGTAGTTCGGCAGGGGCCGCCCTTGTCTGTCCTCGGCGTTGGTCGGCAGGGACCGCCCTTGTCTGTACTCGGCTCTGGTCGGCAGCGGCCGTCCTTGTCTGTCCTCGGCTCTGGTCGGCAGGGGCCGTCCTTGTCTGTCCTCGGCTCTGGTCGGCAGGGGCCGTCTTTGTCTGTCCCTGGCTCTGGTCGGCAGGGGCCGTCTTTGTCTGTCCTCGGCGTTGGTCAGCAGGGGTCGCCCTTTTCTGTACTCGGCTCTGGTCGGCAGCGGCCGTCCTTGTCTGTCCTCGGCTCTGGTCGGCAGGGGCCGTCCTTGTCTGTCCTCGGCTCTGGTCGGCAGGGGCCGTCCTTGTTTGTCCTCGGCTCCGGTCAGCAGGGGCCGTCTTTGTCCGTCCTCGCTGTGGTCGGCAGGGGCCGTCCTTGTCTGTCCTCGGCTCTGGTCGGCAGGGGCCGTCCTTGTCTGTCCTCGGCTCTGGTCAGCAGGGGCCGTCTTTGTCCGTCCTCGCTGTGGTCGGCAAGTGCCGCCCGCACCGTGTTTCGCTGTGGTCGGCAGGGCCTTAGAGTCTTAAACTCCACTGGCAGAGTTTCGCCGCAAGATAGCAGTACCCCGACGCATTACTGAAAAATGACCGATTTGATTCGGTGCGGAAATGACGTCATTCGACGCTATCGTATACATTAAAAATGTGAGCGCCATTTTGGGAGCAGAATACTGTACCTTGTTTTATAGTCTTGGTTCAAACTTCAAATGTAATTCTTGGAACATATTGAGGCTGCTCTGACTATCCGCGCGTCTGGTGTGTATTCATTTTGATCCGACCAAGATCGCTCAATTAAGAAATACATTCGTGACGGCCCAAAAGAGCCACGCCACCGATGTTACATGCGATTGCATATACATGATGGCACGCCTGCATGCCGAGATGGTCTCCAGGCGGGAGCGTGTCACCGGGCAGGCGCCGACCCCGGTCCAGTCCCAGGGGTGGGCTTGCGCATGTCTGCCCGGTCGTCTGGTGTCCGGGCGAGCTACCTTGTTCACGGGGCGCGTGGCGTCCCGTAGCCCGCCCCTGTCATCGGCACTGGTGCTGATGGGGCCGCCGTCTCCGGCGGGCCCGTGACGTCACCGCCAACTGCAGAATGTACTTATTGGGGCCCGATGGGCCAAATCGGCACATTCCGCAGCTGGTGACCCGTGCCACCCCGGCACGAGTCGCTCTCGAGGGAGGGAGGGTGGGGGGGGGGGGGGGGGGCGGGGGATGTCAGCCCCAATCTGGCGCCGTTGGGCGCGGCTGGCCAGCGGACGCCCCAGCCGTTGGCTTCGCCACAGCGGAAGATGCTTAGTTGTCGGGTATCATTAGAGCAGTGGTCCTGAGTTCTCACAGCCATCTCAAAACAAGTGTTGCGTTCTCACGGAACGCGCGGTGGTCGAGCTAGTGGAGCGGCTGCTGGACGCTGTGTCTGTCCCGTCAAATGAATGGCTTCCGGGTCGAGCCGTGCGTAGCGGCGTTCGTTGCAAGCCAATGTCGACGGCGGCGGCGCACGTCGTGCGTGGCGCCAGCCGTGACGCCACGCCGTCTGGGCCGCTGATTGGTCGCGGCAGAGGCTGGGCGGCCTCGACGCTGGGCGACGGCCAGCATCTGATGTATTTTGGGGGTTGGTTGGCCGGCACCCCTGATCCTGTCTGGGGAGGGTCGTCGTGCCATGACATTGGGGCCGACGCGCAGAACTGTGTTCCCCGTCCTTATCCACCCACCCACCAGTATCTAAACACTCGTGATGCGTAATGCTCGTCACGTGAAGGACACTCGTGATGCGTATTGCTCGTCACGTGAAGGACACTCGTGATGCGTATTGCTCGTCACGTGAAGGACACTCGTGATGCGTATTGCTCGTCACGTGAAGGACACTCGTGATGCGTATTGCTCGTCACGTGAAGGACACTCGTGATGCGTATTGCTCGTCACGTGAAGGACACTCGTGATGCGTATTGCTCGTCACGTGAAGGACACTCGTGATGCGTATTGCTCGTCACGTGAAGGACACTCGTGATGCGTATTGCTCGTCACGTGAAGGACACTCGTGATGCGTATTGCTCGTCACGTGAAGGACACTCGTGATGCGTATTGCTCGTCACGTGAAGGACACTCGTGATGCGTATTGCTCGTCACGTGAAGGACACTCGTGATGCGTATTGCTCGTCACGTGAAGGACACTCGTGATGCGTATTGCTCGTCACGTGAAGGACACTCGTGATGCGTATTGCCCGTCACGTGAAGGACACTCGTGATGCGTATTGCTCGTCACGTGAAGGAGGGCACACCGCTTTAGAGATAAGAGCAGTGTGATGCTTACAACAATTGTGGGGAAGTTAGTCATTGAACAAGTGTGGGACGTCTCCTGTAAATTGAGGTTAACTTGTTCCTTGCCAACTAGTCTAGCTGATACAGTCTGGTCGATCTGGGTCAGAGACCTTTCGACCATGATTGAGGGTATGAACGATGCGGAATGTCTGTCAGTTGGGACCTACTCAAATGGTAGCTCATATAGCAATGGTTGCTTTTATTGGGAAGGGTTCAAGTGTCCGCGTGCTCAGACGCTATTGCCCCTGCCGCAAAAGTCGTTCCTCAGATGTGTCCAGGCGCTCACCCATCCGCCGTCGCCACGTGTCGCCTGGTTTCAGGCAACGGCCAGAGCTTCAGCAACGCGTTCGACGGCATGTCGACGGACCCGGGCCAGATCGCCGTCTCGTTCTATTCGGGAATCTTCTCCTACGCCGGCTGGTACGGCCCGCGTCACTGTCGCGTCGCTGTCTGCGGTCACGTGGCAACAGCTCGTCATGGCTGGGCGGAAGTCGTACGTCAGACAGGCCTTCTCGAACAACGGAGCCGCGGCTGGCCCCGGCCGCTCATCGCTAGCATGGCATGTGGCGTAGCGTAGCGTGGCTGTGGCGCTGGGTCTGTCAGTGTACCGTCGGATTGCCCGTACCACGTGTTGGGGTGGCCAGCTACAGGCAAGGTTATTAGCGCGCTTTTCGTTGATGTACGTCATCATTACGACGACGTGGTAAAACCATGGTCATCACCATCAGCTGCGTACGGAACTGTATCAAATACATTCGGAACTGTATAGGGTGCATTTGGTCGAAGCTGTGTCTCCCCTCTTATCCTTGAGCATGAGTTGTGTGTAATCGCGTACAACGCGCTGGAATGATGCTCTCCGCGCTCTTGCTCTCCGCGCTCTTGCTCTCTGCGCTCCGCATGGAAAACTCGCCCGGTGCGTGCTCCACTGTGTCCGGCCGACAGGTCGTCTGACAAACAGGTTTCCATCGCACAGGAACTACTTAAACTTCATGACGGAGGAGCTGAAGGACCCGTATCGGAACCTGCCGCGCTCCATCTACCTGAGTCTGCCGCTGGTCACCTGCATCTACGTGCTTGCCAATGTCGCCTATCTGGTCGTGCTCTCGCCGTACGAGATGCTGGCTTCGGACGCGATCGCCGTGGTGAGTTAACTCGTCCTCAGAGGGCAGGTAGGTAGCGATTTAAAGCGACTGAAGGCTCGTTTTGAGGAAGGAACGCATGTTCCTGCGTTTGGAACGGAAGACCCGTGTGTGAGGCTTTCGCAGCGGTTGGCGAGAGGAGATTTGGAACGTCGCTGCTAAACCTGTTTGCGGTAACCTATATTTGACGCGCATTATACTTGTCTGAGCTGCTCACCATGAACATCGTTCCCGGTACCGTGCGTTGAAGCCTAGTTCAGCGTTATAAAACTGGCAACGGATGCCGTCTGATCAGCGGACGCACCTTAGACGCCCTCGGGTACATCGCCGAATGGGGGGGGGGGGACTATTATGGCCGTCCTGCAGCCTTGTTTATTCAGCAGTGATTCTGCGTGGTTTGGGTTTGGCCCCGAAACCACTGACGCGGCTCCTAAAGTACCTGGCCACAACCTTATACCAGTAGTGGGGCCCACAGGTGTCAAGTCATGGCGGCAACACAGGATGCAGTGCTGACACGACGCGGGGACCGCCAGGTCACTTACATTCAACAGCAGAGACAGACAGAGACATGTGCTCTTTGCCTTGGCCGATCTGTGCTTTCGTCGAAACTAGTCGCCGGTTTCGTCATATTTCTTGGGGGCATTTGTGTTGTTCCAGGCGTCGTATTGCGCAAATAGGTGAAAACCTGTGGCGTTTTCGGTGGCCGCAAAGCATGTGAGATCATTTGATTGCACAATAATACCATGTTCATAAATAACTTTAATTGCATTTAGTAGGTTCATGCGTCGCCAAGGCTCCATCATTTTCTTACGAATTTCACGTAATTTGGAGGACCTAGCCACTCCTGTGCGTGTTAACTTACCACGTTTGATTTTGTAAGCTTACATTTGCCGCTCGCGGCGGTCATGCCGTCCCGCTCTCATACATGCTCTCTGCTGCTCCCCAGACGTTCGCGAACAAGACGCTGGGTGTGATGGCCTGGGTCATGCCGCTGTTCGTGGCCTTCTCGGCCTTCGGCGGACTCAGCGTGCACATCATGACGTCATCGAGGTGAGTCGCCCAGCCATGGCGACGACGCCAGTAGGCGGCATCTCAGCACAGTTGTGGCTACGACGCCACCATCAGTTGTACCAGAACTGCGTAGCATGCTTTTCGCAGTACTCATGGACAATGTGCTTTGTATCCGGTATTGTGCGCCGTGCAATACAATGTGGTAGAATAATCCAGCATGCACTCTTCCTGTCTGATAACTTTTTTAGTTATTTCAATTTTATTTTGTAGTTGTGTTACTGGTATTATTTTATTTTTAAGCCTTTAACATTCAGTGTTTAAGGCACTGCATCACGGCTGTATTGCAGGAAGTGGGTCTACCAAGAGGACGTTTTAGCGCTTGAAGCGTGCGAGTTTTCTGCCAGGTCTAAGTGAGGCAGTCAGTGTTTTTGTCACCGTTCGACAGCGTAAGCCGTGTAACATTAATGCTGAGATATTCAAAAAAGTGTACAACGCACGCTTTCCAGGCTTGCCTTTAAGCGAGAAGGTCCAATATGAATTCAGAAGCTTTACTTCATCGTTCTTATCGGGGGGGGGGAGGGGGGAAGGGGGTAAGAGGTGGCGATTTCCTGTGTGTGTAAATTCAGTCGCGTTTCCCAAATCCACAAGTTTTTGGTAGGCCCACTTGATCTTCCTTTGCCGCCTCTCCCGTTTAGAGCCTGATTTCGTTTACCGTTTCTGACTCGCTGTTTTGTTACCGTTTCCGTTGAAAGGCTATGTTTCGTTGGTGCTCGGAATGGCCATTTTCCTGGTGCCCTGGCTCTGATCAGCCAGAAGTACATCACGCCCACCCCGTCGCTGGTGTTCCTCGTAAGTATCAGCTCGTGATTTGTCCCCTGACCGCTGATCCCACGCCGGCGCGTCCACGTTCGTCGGTCGCCGGCGCGCCCGATGGAAAGCATGAGAGTGGCATGGGCATGTCTCGGTTGAAACTCACATAGCTTTTGTATGTTTTTGTCGTCTACCTGCGGTGGTAAATCATCGTGTTTTGAAAGCCTCATTATATGTAGAAATAACAATTTTACATGGAGCATTTTATATATGGTATTGTGATGTAAATTGTGCTCACGTATAAGCCAGACCGCGATCGCTTTGAACGCCCAGGTGTGCCTGGATATTGTATGAAAGTGGATACCCCAGCTCTAACTGGCATTCCAGTTCCAAGGGACGGACGTAGCCTCGGATATTTCTGACCTACCATACGTCGGGTCGCCCATAGCCTGTATGTGTGTCCCTCTGCGTGGTCGTTCATGGCGTCGTCGCCTGTTATTGTCGAAGGCGTCGCGCCATACCTGTCGTCTCCACGCCCATCCATTTGCTGTCGTGTCTCCCCTCGTCCAGCCCTAATCCTGCCGTACTTTCCTGTGTCCAGCCTATCTCCTAGCAAACATCCCCAGTCCAGTCCATTTCTGCCATGAATCCCTGGTCCGATGCTGCCGCGCATCCCTGCATCGAGTCGGCCTGCATCCAGTCGTGTTTCCTCGTGTCCAGCCCGCCTCCTGACGTGTCCTGCTGTTCATTGCCTCCCCGTCCTCGTTTTTTCCTCCCATCGTGTCTCCGTGTGTCGAGTCCTGCGCGGGTCGTACCTGCACCGACGCATGTCCGGCGGGCCGCGCCCAGCCGCTGACTAACCACTAACGCTGGGCGGTACGCGGTCGCCACGCACGTCCCACCACGTGCGCTGTGCCGCGCAGGCTTTGCTTCATCGGCGCGCGTCACGGCCACTTCCCGTTGGCGCTGTGCGGCGTTCAGATGCGCCACTTCACGCCAGCGCCGGCACTCGTCTACCTCGTGAGTGGTGTGGCGGCGGCCGGGCACCGGACAGACCCGTGGAGAGGCGGGCCGATGCGCGGCCGCCAGGTGGAGCTGGTGGTGCTTTGGCGCGTCTGCGGGTCATGAGGGGTCTGTTGCCTACGGCTATCGTGCATGCAGATAACGACCAATCCAGTTGGCTCCTGGCTTCCATTATTTTGCCGTGGCAGACTTGTTCGACTTCTGTTTATACATTGAGATATATATATATATAGATGTGTCATGTGGGTATGTGAGGTACGTTGTTGGCAGGTATCAGAAAAATTGTACATACGTACTTGCACTCCAGCATGTCTGCATAAGGCGCATGCGTTGCCTGTGTACCCCTGAGTCGTTTCACCTGGGATGCATATCCTGATACCCCGAGTACCAAACGACCGATGGTTCCATCTTGATAGGATCCTATTCAAAGAAGTGGACAAGCGATGCACATCGAGTTTCGCTTATATTGAAGACCCATTGTGACTTTTCAACGCCGATAATGGGTTTCAAATAGCGAAGCGGTACGGGAAGATGATAAGGTGCGTAAATGAAAGCAGCTGTGAGCCGGAAAGCGTGCGATCTTGTATGTGTGCTGATGTTAGAATCTGTGAGCTGTTAGGAATCTCCGGTCAGCGGGGTTAACTGACGGTCGTGTTTCAGGGTCTTCTGTCGCTGGTGTACCTGTGCACCAGCGACATTTTCGCCCTGATTAACTACGCCAGCTTCATCGAGTCTTCGTTCATCCTCTGCTCGATATCCGGCCTGCTGTACCTCCGCTGGAAAGAGCCTGCCAGGGAGCGACCTATCAGAGTAGGCGGCCGGAGCTAGTCGCCGTCACCGCTGTAACGTCTGCGGCGCCCGTGCGGCGCTACACACGCGCACCCCGACGCTCTGTAGCCATTCGGTAGCCGTATTCCTCACGTTTCGCACGTCTGGTTTAGAAGTGGGAGAAGCAGCGCAAACGAAAGCACATTAATACCCCGGAGTCACCGCAAAACCTTGGTGTCGCTAGTGGTGCTCACCTATTCTCTACCACTTTTACCATCAGGGTGGCTCAGTGTATCTGTTCCGTCACTGACGCCCCCTGTCACCTGCGTGGCCCACTCAGGCTCGCCCAGTGTATTCTTATCGCCAGTGTGTCACTTGTACTCTGCTTACCTTCATGCACTGTCGTGTGCTGTAAAAACGCGCGCTACTTGTTGCATCCTTGTGTAATTGCGTTATTCATATTTAAGTTTACTCTGGTAACATGCAATGCAATAATCATTTTTAATTGTCGGCTGTGATGCATTATCACCTCCCAGGTCATGTCGTAACGTGGTTTGCTGTAACTGAACTGCGAGCTGGTGTTGAAATGTATCGGAACCAGTCAAAAGTCAACGTGGACCTAGTGAGATGGGCATAAGCAGGCTGGTCGGTGCCCGACAATTTTGTCGTCGCGGTAATCTGTATTGATTCCTGCTGCGATGGTGTGTGCCACTGATGAACGTGGGCGCTTCTCCAGGTGAACATCGTGATACCGATCTTATTCCTGATGATCTGCGGCTTTCTCGTGTTCATGCCGCTCTACGTCAAACCGATCGAGGTCGGCATGGGCATCCTCATCACCTTCACGGGGGTGCCCGCCTACCTTGTCTTTGTCTACTGGAAAAACAAGCCGCAATGGGCGCTACGTGTGATTGGTGAGCAAGTGTTCCAGTTTCTTCGCACTGTAGGTTTTCCAGCAATCAGGGTGGCTCTTTGGTTTGGTTGGAATTACATCATGATACCATGCCTAATCACTATGATGTCATGGAAACTACCCAGGCGTATGTATCCGTGTTCAGTCATGGACAGCTGTTGCCGTGAGGTAGCTGTGCCGCCCTAGGGTGCGCGGAATTATCACCCGCGCGTTGCAGGGGCATACCGTTACCCCACTCCCGCTGGCAATAACTACGGCGATGCCCTCTGTTCCAGACAACTTCAACCGGTTCACACAGAAGCTGTTTCTGGCTCTGAAGGAGGACTAAGTCGCTGGTGACCGCACGGCGCCGCGTCCAGCACGAGCCATGCCTACCTGGCTCCGTCCGACGGCAGGGACTTCCCTGTCCGGACCAGCGGCCTGCTGCCCCTCGGGTCGGAGCAGTTAACCTGAGCGCCATGCGCGGCACCAGACGCCGTGCCGCTATGCCCCATTGCTGTCCGAATGTCGGGGCGTGAGCGCTCGCCGTCGGGATAGTTTCGCGAACGCGACGCCAGGGGCGCCAGTGGTCCTGCCGCTGGGGGTTCGCCGCGAGCGGACTGGCCGGGGGCTCAAAATTTATCCCGCCCCACCCGACCGCGCCTTTACTCGCTGGGCGCAGCGGAGGGCAAGATGCGGAGGGACGCCCGCCTCGCGCTCCAACGCCGCAGCGGCCTGAGTGGTGTCCTGACAGAGGAGCGTCGCCAGAGGCGGAGGAGGCGGCGGGCCCGTCCCCGTCGGCGCGAGCTGTGTCTGCGGTCCAGCGTGTGACAGGACAGTGTGGCTGAGTGTTGCGTACCTGTGAGCTCTAGCCGGGGCGCATTGTGGGTGTTTGCGTGCGCTGGTGGGGCATGCGTGATGGGCACCCTTCCAAACGTGCTGACGAGGTGAACCGACTTATGACGGGCCAGATCAAGACTTACAAAGCGACGTGCCTGTGTCCTCTGCATACTTTTGAGAAATATATCATGTGAGACATGCTGATGTAGCTATTTTCTACGCGCAGCGTTTCAAGCGCCCGCGCCTCTCAGCTCGCGTTGAGTGCTGGAGGTCGCAGGGTGGAGACACAGCGTGCAGACTGCAACACGAAACAGCCAACGCACTTTGCCTGGTTACATGTTGACTTTTTATTTGTCCGGAGACCATTCAATGAACAGTAGACATCCATGCCGGAACAACCCTCGGCAGCAAAATGGCGCACAGGCACAGCATTGGTCGGAATATGGTGCACGTCACGATGGAGCGACATTGTCGAGCTCTTGTACATGCTTTTGGTCGAAGGCGCGCTATTTACACAAAGTGGAAGGCAACAGACCAGCCAGGTCCATTACAAGCCACAAACTAATACAAACCTTCATATGCTCCCAAATAAAAGCGAACAAATGCCCGGGGCATTTTCACACACCTCCCTTCGGCATGACAGACGTAAGCATCCGGAAAAAGGCCGCATGGTCCGTGATCTGCATCAGACGTTCACAGCTCCACGTTGGGTTGTCAGGCAGATTGCCAGACGAGTGACGAGATCTGCGCACGCGGGATGGCGGATGGCGTCAGCAAGCAGAACACACGATATAAGCTCACGAACAATATCCCGGCATCCAGTACACGGTAAACAAAGGTTGGACGTCCGAAAATGTCCAACGTGATACAAACAAATTGTGTTTGGATATTACAAACCTACCGGCGGATCGAAAACAGGAAGGAAATGAGACTGCAAAGTAGCCCTAATATGAGCGAGCCTGGTAGAGCGTGATGTGACACGCGTCTCGCCCTGACATGCGCGGCTGTTTACTAAACGCTGCGGTGGCCGCGGTCAAAAGCATCTAAAAAATCGTCATTCACCGGGCAGTTCATTCCCGGGGCAGTTTGACTAGCGAACTTGTAATCACTGCACGTACCACACATTCAACGCGTGGCAAGACACACACACACACGCACGCACGCATGCACGCACGCACGCACGCACGCACGCACGCACGCACGCACGCACGCACGTCCCCGGCTGTTCGTCGCCTCCCGAACACCGCCACATTCCACGACGGCGTCGCTTTTGAAAGACCGGTGACGGCTATGACCTCCGGACCACCGCGCCGGCGAAAGCGATTGAGGGCTGAACTCCGCGAATTCGGGGTCCCGACCCCGCGGTCAATATGGCGTTGCCACGCGGCTGGGGGGAGGGGTTCGAACGCCGGCCTCCCGCTGACACCGGGGGACCCCAGGCGCTGCTTCCAGCTGTGTCTGTAACCAGCCTCCGTGGAGGCACGTGATTCCTGGCGAGGCAGCGTCCGCCTACTGCCGACAGACACGTGTTCGGAACGCGACGAATATGGCTCGACCCGAACCCTCCGTCTCCTTGTTTTCCAGTAGCAGGCGCTAACCATGACTGGCTGGTCACCGGCAAGCATCATAAGCCGTCATCCAGCTCCATCAGTATTCGACAGCAGGCACCAGGACCTTTGGGCCAAAATGCCGACTCAAGGCAGACAAACAAAACAACTGACCTCCTGGCTCACTTAACGCCGATGATTCGGAAGGAAAGAAGCGGACAATTGACGGCCTAAAGCGGTCCCCAATCAGACCAAACAGAAGGCTTCAACGGAGCCGCTGCCGGCAGCGCACACCATCCGCATCCGTCAGTCGCTGGCGGGACCGAGCGCGCCAGCGCTGGGAGCGGCGTTCGTGCCTCCGCGCGGTCCGGCGCGCTGCATCACCGAGGCGTCGCGCAGCTGGCGGTAGTGCACGAACACGGGCGAGTGCACCAGGCGCGTCTTGAAGCGCACGGCCGCGCCCTCAAAGCTGGTGTTGCCGGCGGCCGGCGTGCCGCACTCGACGTACAGCTGCACGGCGGCCATGAGCGGGTTGAGCTGCGGCGGCCGGCCCAGACTGGCCCAAGCGGCGGCATCGAACGGGTCGGTGACGGCCTCGGGCCGCAGCAGGCAGACGGCGCCGCGCTCGGTCCGTGACGGCCGCAGCGACGTCTTGCTGCTCAGCGTGAGGAACGGCGCCTTGCGCGCGTACGGCCCGTCCGCGGCGTCTGTGCAAAACACCTGAACGGGGACATGTACGGTCAGGGATAGTGGTGCTGGACGACCTGGCGATTGGAGGGAGGCCACAGCGATTTGATTCAGAGGTCAGTGCTGGAGCACCAGCAGCAAAAGCTGACCTTAACAGGCCACTACAGGTGGCTAGCTACAAGCGGGGTTGAATCATGCAGACACTGCACCGGCACACAGCAATAAGGTAGCCACGTGGCGTGCATGATCGGAAGTTACAACACACGAGAGCCGCGTACAAGGCGAAGCCAGCGCTTTTGCCAGTGATCGCGGCTTGGCTCACCTCCTGCGAGAGGCTGAAAGCCGCCGCACCCGGCCGCTGCATCTGCTCCTCCATGGCGCGCACCATCTCATGCACCGTGTCGTGGCGGCGCGGCACCAGCAGCTGCGTCACGTTCAGCGCCGCCACGTGTGACACGTGTCCGGACGTGCGCACGAGGCAGTCGCGGCGCAGCAGGTCGGCGGCCGTCAGCTGCGCGGCCGGCGAGTCCAGCCGGTACGGAAAGTCCCAGCGAACGAGACGGGCGGGCAGGACGGCCGCCGAGCGGAGCAGCAGCTGCGACACGCCGCGCGTCACGGCCGCCTCGTACAACCACAGCCGCTCCATGCCGACGACCGCGTGGAAGGCGGCGAACTCGGCCAGCCGGTCCAAGTCGCCGGACGTCCAGTCGGCCGGGATCAGGCAGACGCCAAGCCGGTCGGCCGGGCCCGGCCAGTCGCGTCTGCCCACCGCCGAGACGGCCGGGCGGCGGCCCCGCGCGCCACGCGCCAAGTAGCCCACTGCGTACGGCGCGCGGTGACCGTCGAACGCGCACGTCAGCCGCCAGCCGGCGAACGGCGCGGCGCCGTCGCCGACCGGGCCCGGCAGCCGCTGCACGCTGACGGAGCCCGTGGCGGCGCCGGCCCCCTCCACCCACACCCAGCACGCCAGCTGGTCGGGGCGCGGCTCGCCAGCGGCTACGGCCAGCGTGGCCACGCCGACGCCGTGCGCCACATACGAGGAGAAGATGAAGAGGTCGGCAGAGACGGCCTGCCAGCCGTCGCCATCCCAGCTCAGCACACCATTGGAAGGCGCTACTGTCGCCATGTTTGGACTGCCAAATGTGTCCAGCACCTGGTGAAGAGCCAGCGTAGTCAGTTTGGCAGCATGAAAATGGAGCAGTGGCAAGCATGGCATGTGTGCATGACCCAATATCATGACAGAGTGGAAGGTCACATGCATCTGTTAACCGCAACAACAGCTATCTATGCAAAGTGTGAGGCAGTTTTAGGTGCAATGGTGCATGAGCATTGCATTCAGAACTTAAATTGCAAAAAGCATTGTGCTGATATTAACACAAAAGATTAATCATGTCTAATCTTTACTACTGCCACCCATAAATTATGTTTACCTGCAGAACACCTCTGAGGCGATCATACTGGTGTTTGTAGAAGAGGAAGAATGCTGCACTGATGACAGCTGTAGAAACTAAGAGAAGCTTCCAGTATTTACGCATTTTGCAAATCAGCAGCTATGCTTAATCTTGATTAATAAGCTGAAAAACAAAGGATGTTACAACACTAACTGCTGTCATTGTACCACATAACAGCAGTTCACATCACCTTCCTCATGCATTGTAAAACAAAATAAACTAACTTGACAAAAATTACTTGATGTGGATTAATATATTAGAGGTCTTTTGAAGGTTGCTGGGTGATTTCACAACTTTCAGTGTGGGAATATCTGCCTTACATTCCTGGCTAATGAAAAAATGTTTAGCTCTTAAGTCTTCTCTTGTTATGAAGGATCCATATAAGTGTGGCAATTAGAAATAAGTGATTGTACTGAAGATTCAGTGCAACTTGGCCTGGCCTTGAAGGAGTTTGGAGTTTGACACACATGACTGCAAGGTATGGTGACAAATGTTGCACAGGTCCAGTGCAGTGGAATTATTTTTGTAGACTGGTTTGGTGGCAACATGCTGTAGCTTGACAACCAGTGGTTCCAGCAAGACAGGGCAACAGCCCACCCTGGCTGGGACAACAAGAAGTTGGGTTCCAGGCTCTGAGAATATGTCAGAGGTTGCCTCTTATCCTTAAGAGGTGCACATCCCAATCCAAAACTTTGAATTTGTAACAGGCTGCACAATTTTCAGTGCCTGGAGTGCAGACTGAGACACATGCCATCAGACTGCAAAAAAATACATGCTATGCTAAACATCTCTGGCATAGCAGTGCTGCAGCAGAAACAATGCAGTGCACTATATAATAAATCTGGGGGATCAGAATTTGATGCAGCTGGCACCAATTCTGATGTGCAACAGAGCCAGAACTCAGCTCATGTAAGCATGCCATTCAGCACACTGATGTCACATTGGACCTGGCACCATGGATGGATCTTTTGTAAGCTTCACATTGGTGCACCATTTGGCAAGCAGTAAGCATCACCCATCTGTGTCACTGTACCTCAATGGCTCTAGACCCTGGATCACAGGGGTGAACTGAATGCATGGAACATGTGATCTAAAGCCATGAGTACAAATGTTGCATCGTAATATGTTACAGCCATCGGCTTTCCTTGAGCACATGAAACCCGAGCTTTCAAACCACATGTTTATTCCCCTTTAACAGAATGCATTTTTCGGAGGGCTCTATTTGGTAAAAGAGGTAAAATCAGTAGAAATACACGCCAGCAATGTAGAAAATGGCAGTGCGAACCACAAACTCAGCATCATCTCGGGCTTTCCAGGCTACGGAGCTATCCGTTAGCGTGTATTACCATACCAGCTGCGCCATTTAACGTTGCAAGTAAGCCATTACATGCTGCCTTCTGATAGTATTGGTCAAATCAAACTGCTTGCAGAAATTTTGTACATTAGAATAATGGAAATATACATTTTTACTTTAAGTTTTATCTTGTAGGATGATAATTAGTGATGTTTCTCTTTTTCAAATACTCAAGTCCAAATATGATACCTGAATTCCTTTAAATTCTAATATGAGCTGAAATCGTGAATTCTCCACTAGCCCTGGGAAAGTATTTCTGCTGTCTGAAGCTGCCTTGCGTGAGCGCTGCTAGCACCATATAGCAAGTGAGAGAGTATTATTTGCCGTCTACTTACGAACAAATCCAAAAGCAACCAGTTAGAGCAGGTTGGTTGATAACCGAACGGTTCCTTTGTGGACACCTGTCGTGCTACTGGGCGGTGCTGTATGCGGAAGCAGAACCACCGTGGGAGGGTAGCAGGCTGAGGGGGTCCGGGAGAGGTCGGCCGCTGGTTGTTGGGGTCGTCGTGGTGTCTGCGGGGGTCAGGTCTGAGAGGTCTGCATTTGCGGATAGTCGTCTCAAGGTAAGCCCATAATATTGGCATGTTTTAGGTGTGGTGAGCATACATGTCTCCTTTGCAGGCGTGCAACAGGTGTGAATAAATCGGCTATTGGATGCTCATCAGGCATACCTGTTGAGCCCTGCAGTAGACACCACGATGCGCGGTTTTTAGTGCGCTACAGGGTGGAAACCGTGTGCAAGGTGCTGTTAGTGCATTGATAGTGTTAGGTAATATGAGTGCATTAGGTGTATGTGAGGTGTACCTCATTGCAGATCGACTTTCATCAAGACCAAACTGGTGACTTTGAGGGTGATTTGTTAGCAAATTCTGTTGAGAAGGCTGCCTTTCATCCTTTAATTATGATGTAGTTCCTGCAATGAGAATTTACAGCTTATATGGCAGGTCACTTGCCAGCTGGCCAGATGTGCACACCTGGCATTACAGGAAGGAAGGCTTCAGCAATTGCACTGCATTGTGATTGAGTAGCTCATTGTTGTGGTATCCTTGTAATTTAGCAGTTGCTTCTCTTGTAAATTGTCCCTGCCTCTGAACTTTGAAACAATAAACAGTCCAGTATGTGACAAAGTGGTGACGAGGATGGCACACATGCAGGTGGATTTAATTTGTTATTTGAAGTTATATGGATCTAGATTAGCTATATAAACTATCAAGAAGTGTGCTGAGACATAGAGTATATTTTGAAAGTAGTAATTTTGACAAGTTTGGGCAAATTGCACTGGAAAATCCAGATGAGTCTGGGCCTTGACACACCACAAGTGTATGAGGAAGGAGAAGACTTAGAGTTGTGGCTGGATAGCTTTGAACTTTATGTGTGTGCTGTTGGAGTGATTGGGACAGAAAGAAAGGGAGCACTGTTGTTATGTATTCTGGGGAACAACATCCAACACAAAGTGAAAGCTCTGGGAAACGAACAAAGTGTGAAACAAAATCGGGACCAAGATGCTTATGAGTGGACAAAAAGTCAGCTGAAAGCACTTTTTGCTCCTAAAACAAGACCAGTCTGTGAAAGGAAGGTTTTCCACAGCATGAAAATGACAGATAAAGATTAGGATATAGTCAAGTTTGCAGAAAGGCTTGGAAAACAAGCTCAACAGTGCCAGTTCAGAGAGGAAGTGGATAACATGATCCCAGATCTGGTCATCAGAGTTCCCTCATCCTGAACTGCAGATTTGTCTGCTTGAGGCAGACAACTTGAGCCTCACTCAAGTGGTGAAGATGTGGAAGTTGCATCTACAAGTAAGGGAGCAAGCTGCCAAACTTTAATGCATGGGACTCAATGACCAAAAAGAGGAGGTCAAAGAAGAAGAAGTGAAAACTGAGGAGGTTAACCAGGTGAGCCATCAAAGGCAAAAGTGGGTGCCATCTAGGAGGTACAACCACCAAGATTAAAGGTGGCACAATGTCCAGGATCAAAGGCAGCTGACCTACTTCAGGTGTGGTGAAGAGGGACACAAAGTGGCACTGTCAGGTCACAGGAGGTAAAACCTGCTCAAAGTGTGATCACTTTGCAAAGGCCTGCAGGAGCAGGATGACCTAGGTGAGCTACAACAGAGGTAATGGGTTCACAGAGGTGAACACAGCCAATGAGGATTTTGTATTCTGAACAACACAAAGACTCCATCACAAAAACTGGTTACTGTGTTCCTGAACAAGCAGCCAGTCATATTGATGATGGACACAGGTACTAGCATTGACATCATCACCAGGCAGGATTTTAAGACCCTGCAAGGGATCGAGGCTGGGAAAACCAGCAGGAGGCTGATGCGCTATGGAGCAGATGTTCCATTGGCCCTGGATGGACAGTTTGTGGCAACAACAAGCACCAATGACAAGGAGGCAGAGGCATGCTGGGTCATCTCAGCTAAGGGAAGGGTGTCACTTCTAAGCAGCACAAGAGTACTGCTACAATGCCTGGTGCAACTTCACACAGAGCACATCTACAGGGTAAAAGAGCCGTCTGTTGAGGAAGTGCTGAGCCGGAGCTCGGAAGTGCTCAAAGCAGAACTGGGTAAAATATCCAGAGGGAAGGCCAAATTGAAGCTGAAGAAAAAGGCAGCACTAGTGTTCAGAAAGGCAAGATCTGTGCCATATGCACTTCAAGGTGCAGCTGACAAAGAACTAAAAAAATGGGAAGAAGATGGTGTGGCAGAGAAGGTGGAGTATGCAGAGTAGGCCTCACCCAAGGTGGTGGTCCCAAAGCCGGGTGGGAAAGTGAGGATCTGTGGAGACTACAAGGGCACAGTAAACCCACAACTGGAGGTCCCACAGCACCCCATGCCTAACCTGGAGGACATCCTGACTGGTCTGGCAGGAATGCACAGTTTTTGCAAACTTGACCTGAGTACAGCCTACTTGCAGATGGAGCTAGAGGCGGACAGTCAGGAGATCACATTCCTTAATACACGAAGAGGTCTCATGAAGATGAAAAGGCTGCCATATGGCATAGCATCATCACTAGCCCTTACGACGTGGAGTACCGGAGGTCAGAGGAGATCCCGATGGCTGACTTCTTGTCCCGCCTTCCCTGCTCCACAGGTGTAATGAAAGCTGATGAAGCAACTGTCTGCTTTATGGAAAGCATCGAGAAGCTGTAGCCACTGACAGCGAACCGGGTGAAGCTGGCGACCAGCAGTGACGTGCTGCTGGTGGAAGTAGCGCACCATTCCAGGACAGGATGGTCAGCAAGAAGCACAGCAGAAATACAAGTGTTCAGCAGAAAGAAGGAGGAGCTGACCATCACCAACGGCTGTTTGCTTTGGAGCGCAAGAGTGATCATCCCCAAGAAGCCGCAGAACCAAGTACTGGAGGAGGTGCTTGACAGCCATCCAGGCATCACCAGAATGAAAATGCTCGCCAGGAGCTACGTGTGGTGGCCCCAAATCGACAAGGACGTTGAAGACCTGGTGGAGCGGTGCGCAGGATGCCAAGAAACGCGGAGCGAAAGGCCGGCAGTGTTCCTGCACCCATGGGAGCACACCAAAAATCCCTGGGAGCGGGTACACCTGGACTTCGCAGGTCCAATGCGAGGAAGATATTTCCTCGTGTTGGTGGACAGTCACTCGAAATGGCGGGAAATCGCGCCGTTGAGGGACATCACGGCAGGAACAACCGTCCGGGAGCTGAGCAGCATATTTGCTCGGTTCGGTATCCCAATCCAACTAGTATCTGACAACGGACCGCAGCTGAAGTCCCAGGAGTTTGGAAACTTCATTTTGAAGCTGGGCATCAAGCACATCCGAGTGGCTCCGTATCGTCCACAGTCCAACGGTCAGGCGGAATGAATGGTCCAGACCAGGAAGCACGGTCTAAAGGCGGCAATGACAACAGGAGACGGGCAGCCAGTGGAAACGCTCTTGGGTTCGTTCCTGATGAAGTACAGGAATACAGAATATGCGACGACAGGAATCGCGCCAGCCGAGGCCATGCTGGGCCGACAAGTGAGAACGAGAATGGATCTGCTGAGACTCAACGCGGCAGGGAAAGTTTTTAACGCCCAGATGAATGAGATGAAGAACCCCAGACAGTTCCCCGAGTTCCAGGTTGGATCAACGGTTCTCGGTCGGAGCTATGCAGGAGGAGCGAAATGGAAGCAAGGAAAGGTGATAGGCCGCACCGGTCCAGTTTCGTACGCAGTGACCGTGGATGGATTGGTGTGGTCACGCCACGCTGGACAGCTACTGCGAAGCCAAGAGAACAAGGAAAGCCACCAAGAGCAAGCCGCACGCAAGAAAACGGCAAAAAATGGACAAATAATGTTCCAGGCAGCCAGTCTGGTAGGCCTCCCAGAGCGCACCTCGGGAACCGGCGGACCACAGGACACACACCAGCCCGCGCAGCCATCAATCGCGGAGGAGCAATCTCCACGCTCTCCAACGGACGATGGGGCCGAGGAGAAGCCGGAGGAGCAACGCGGGGTGCCGAGACGCCTCGCGGCGGGGACCAGCCGGAGGAGCAGCAACCGCGGGGTGCCGAGACGCCTCGCAGCAGGGACCAGCCATAGGGCCAGGCCGAGCCGAGAGTTGGGTCGGACGAACTGACGCCAGTCGTGACGCGTGATCCGGTGACAACTAGAAGTGGACGTATGGTGAAACCTTCCCGTAAATATCGCGATTACGTCCAAAGAGTCGTGTTAGTCACAGTATCATGTGAAATAGTCAGTGCTGATTCAGTTCAGTTGCAAAGAAGAGGAATTGCTGCAGAGGGGAATTTCGGTTCGGAATTTTGGTTACGTTAAGTTTGTGAACTCATTGTATTTCCTAACCGCTCAGGCGATGTCTAAAGAAAACGTTAACGTATTGTTTAAGTGTGCGAACTCAATTATTGATGGAAACAACGGGTGTATCGAAAGGGTAGTTGTATTTAGGAGGGAGGAGATATGGTACCCTTACAATTTAGTGGTTGCTTCTCTTGTAAATTGTCCGCTGCGTCTGAACTGAAACAATAGCCAGTGCGGTATGTGACAATTGTTAAACAACTTCCTGGAGGTCTGGGAGATATATGTTTGCCTTTTCATAACAAGATGAGATACTTGTAATGTCCTGCATTCCCATAAAGACAACTATAGGCATGTTTGATGGCATGTGTCTTGACTAAGTTTAAACTTGCAAATAAACAAGAAGTATATGCTGTACAATTTGGTGTATTGTTTGTTGTTGCATGCTGCTTATAAAAAGAAAATAGCATGAGTAGGTATTGCTGAAGGCCTGCTCAGTGATTGTTTAATCAGTTCAACTGATATAGCTATATTTTGAATTTGTTGTGCACATATTGGTTTTGTAAGATGATATAATCATAAATTATACCTATGAGGAGGCATGGGCTTATTATCTGGAATATGGATCTCATCATTAAAGAGCTACTGGATCCATAATCCACATTTGTGATCCATGCACAGGATTGGGACAGGCTGTCTGCACATATCCTGTTTAGAGATTTAAATGCATTAGAACCAATAAAGGAAAAATATGCTAACTCCATGCAACTTGTGGCATGCTCTACTC